GTCCAACAGCAGGCAGGTGCTCAGACTCAATAGTTTACCACTGGCTTGTATGAAAACTCATACTTGTTTGCCTGGCTCTTCCAGTGTACTGTTCCAGAGGGTGGGCTCGTTCCCAAGTCACTTTATCAAATGGATGAAGAGCCAGAGAATGCAGATCACATCCGACTGTGGACAGAAACTATCTATCATTCTGCAAGTGTCCTCAGAGGAGCTCCACATGAGGTACAAACCATCAGAGCATCAGAAAGCTGGAGGTGGTGCTGAGCTGATACTGGTGATGTGTTCCTTTCGCTGAAGTTGGTTAGAACAGCAAAGAGCTCCAAAGCAGTGAGGATGATATGTTTCAGCAGCATCATGTGTTTAGTGGGAAGCCCAAGGCTAGCTAACAGCTAGAGGTCAGGAGGTTAAGAACTGTAATGTAGGAGCAAAGCTTTTCTTTCCCATGGCCTGATTTCCTGTTGATGCAGTCTCTTCCTCATTCTTTTGGGGAAAATGAAGCTCCCTCTGCTTCTCTTTTGGTAGTACTGCTTCCATTCTCAGTGGTTTAGCAAGGATGGTGGTGATACATAAGCTGGGTCATCAGGAGGGAGAACATCCAAAGGAGGAGCACTTCAGTCTCAGAACAGTGGCTTCCTGGCAGTGGGTAACACTGACTTGGTTTGCCTGGGCTTCTTAAAAAGCCTCAGTGCCTTTTGGAGCATGCAGCTGTTCTGAAGGTGCTCTTTGCTGCGTCCTGAATGCTTTGCTGCTGTTCCATGGAGGTTTTCTTAGAACTGGCAACTGATTTACAAGCAGCTCTGATACAGGGGAGAGATGGCATAAGAATGGCTGAGCAGATGTACTGGGGGAGCAGCTGGCAATGGGAATCAATCTATATCCTCCTTAGGACTGGGGCCAATCCTTTACCTGGCAGACTGTAGGGAGAAGCGTGTTTGCAGAGTGGGAAAGCAGAGGCTGGCTGCAATGGAAGTACCTGGCTTGTCACTGTGCGTGAGCTTGCTGTATTTCCTTTACAGATAGTTGTGGAGATTTTGGAAGGGGAGTCTGTGATCACCTGGGACTTTGACATCCTGAAGGGAGACGTGGTGTTCAGCCTCTTCCACTCAAAAAGGGCTCCAGAAACAAGTCATAAAGAAGCTACGTTACCAAGTACCTCTGCTGCTGGGGACAACGTGCAGCTGATTGATAAGACGTGGGTCCTTGGTGTGGATTACAGCCGTGTGGAATCTCCACTGGTTTGCAGGGAAGGAGAGAGCATCCAGGTGAGATGTTTGTGTCCTGGCCTGTGCCTTGCAGTCCCTAGCGTGCTCCAAAATGGTCTGCTGGTGGAGAAGGGAAGGAATGAGTGGGATGGGAAATTGTGAGCTGCTTGGAAATAGTTGTCATGGCAATCCACCTCTGAATTCCCTGTGAAAATGGCTACTATTGCACTTTGTAATGGTTTTAAACTAAAAGAGGGGTGATTTTAGGTTAGATGTTAGGAAATCTGAGAGGGAGGTGACCCACTGCTGTGGGTGCCCATCCCTGGAGATGCCCATGGCCACAGATGGGCTCTGGGCAGCTGAGCTGGGGGGCACAGCCCATGGCAGGACTGGGGCTGGGGAATGGGAGGGCCTTTCCAACCCAACCATGCTGTGATTCCAGTTTAGGCATAGCCACTGCAAAGAGATTCCATAATCTGTGATAAAAAACAAAAAAACAAAAAAAAAAACGGATGGAATATCATCAGATAACCTTTTTGTATGGTGGTTGTAGTGTGTGTTTGGGGTTTTTTTGTTCATTTGTTTTCAAACTGGCATTACAGAGGTGTGGCTCAGGCAGGTAACATGAAGTGAAGGATGTGTGCTTCCCCGGGTAGTTAACTCAACAGCTTGGGTCTTTCACCAAGTCACTCAGTGATGAGGCTCTCAGCAGTCACTCAGTCACACTCTTACTTTCAGGGATCCCATGTGACTCGCTGGCCCGGCTTCTACATTCTCCAGTGGAAAATGCATGGTCCCCTGCCCTGCTCTGGCACCAGCCTCCCTCGGGTGGATGATGTTCTCGCCTCTCTGCAAGTTTCCAGTCACAAGTGCAAGCTTATTTACTACTACGAGGTGCTTGCATCCAAGGACTTCAGGTAGGAGCCTTACTGTGCAACTTGCAATGAAAAAGCCACGTGGGAGCACTGAGTGTGACTTTCAACACATAGACACCAGTGATCTCTAGAAGGTGTGTGTTTAATTGCTAATAAGTTAGGTGGACACAAACTTGGCATTTTGTGGCAATGATGTCCCTTAGCGTGGTAGGCAATAGGGTTTTCTCTTGGTGGATGTCCACCACTGGGGTTTGTGCTTCTGGATTACAGCTGCCTGAGGTGTGGGAGGTGTTTGGGAGGTGGACTTTTTGATAGAAGAGGGGGACATTTTGAGAAGTAATTGAATGAATGTCAGCTGGGCTGTTTCATTCATTCTTCATCTGGCATTTGAGGACGATGTTTGCTGTGACTTTGAGAGCGCCTTCCCAGCAGTGTGTGCATCCACCTCCTTTAACACAGAGCATCCTTTCCAAAATCTTCCAGCAGTTTGAAAACTTTGTGAGAACTGCAGTAGCAGCTAGAAGGAATTGTTGGGTAGACTGGGCTTGCAGATAGGTGGGTGCTGACCTTGAGAATGTGGCCTGGCCAGATCCCATTGGCTCAAAGCAGCAGCAAGTTCCTGATTCCAGTTATTCAAACCTGTTCCCTGTTGCTTCAGCTGCATAAAATGTGCCAGACTCCAGGCTGGGCTGCCAGGGGCTGAAGACAGCAGCTGGAAACACAGGGGCTGGAACTCTTGGCCTGGTGGGCTGCAGCTCTAAGGCTGGCTGCAGCACCTGGGCTCACTGAGCTGTGCACTCCCAGGTAAATGCAAGAGCTGTAATACCTGTTGCCAGCAAAATGTCAGTGATTATTTAACTTTTCATTACGATACAGAGGAACCCTGAGGTTGTTAATGAGAGGACAAGGGGAGATGGTTTTAAACTGAGACAGGGGAGGTTTAGGTTAGATATTAGGAGGAAGTTTTTCACCCAGAGGGTGGTGAGGCACTGGAACAGGTTGCCCAAGGAGGCTGTGGATGCCCCATCCCTGCAGGCATTCAAGGCCAGGCTGGATGTGGCTCTGGGCAGCCTGGGCTGCTGGTTGGTGACCTGCACACAGCAGGGGGTTGGAACTGGATGAGCATCGTGGTTCTTTGCAGCCCAGGCCATTCTAGGATTCTATTAATATGATGGGACAAAAAATAAAATACTTCTCTAAGCATTACAGAAAGCTGATCTCAGATACCTGAAATTATCCATGAAATAGCAGCCTGCCTTAACAAACACATCCGTTTTGTCCCATGACAGGGGATCCATGTCAAGCCTGGAATCTTGCAACAGCGGATTTTCCCAGCTGAGCGGAGCCACGACATCTTCCAGCCAGTCCCAGAGCAGCTCCCATCTCTCCAGATAGCAGGGCTGAGGCTGCACCACAAGGAAACATTGCTCAGGGCTTTCTGGCCGCCCCAGAGCTGCTCTGTGCACCAAACCAAAGAACCCGCAGGGCTGAGCAGTGAGGCGCTGTGTGAGCGCAGGCAGCAGCCGCTGCACAGCGAGGGGCTTCTGTTCCCAGCAGGAGACTCAGTGCTGAAGCAGCAGGTGTAGTTTTCTATCAGATGCCTACTTCTCAGCAGAATATTTCTTAAATTGTGTTTTTGGATGAATGTCAGTTTGCATGAATTTGTGTATTACTCAATTCTCAAGGGCTCCTTTCCAATCAGTCCTTTTCCCTCGCGTGGTAGAGGAGACTGATGTTGCCTTATCTGATTGGTCTGTAGGACTAGATTATTCACCTGTAGCAAAATTAATCTCGTTTTCTGAGTGCCCAGGGTACCGATTGCTCGTCAGAAGGTAAAGTGGGCATTTCAGGTGCAGGGACTTGAAGCAAACTGTAAATACTTTAATACGGATAGGATATTTTAGAGATTAGATCCAGGTCAAACCTAAAACCTCTTCCTATCTGACGGGATGCTATTAGGAAATGTGTTGGATTTTTTTTAACCCACCGAGACACAAAAAAATCAAAACTGTTCTCCAGAAAGTAGAGGCAGAGACCCTGCCACCATGAGCAGCATCTTTCTTAGAGATACCTTTCCTTTTTCCTCAGGTTTACAAGCAATAATAGGTGGATCTGACCCATCTCATCACAGTAGATGGGAACCAAATCAAACGATAAAGGGCTAAGAAAAGCAATATTTTATTTCCTGAAGGCACAAAATTTAATGGCAGCATTATGGAAGTCTTCAAAACATGAGCTAACTTGATAACTGTAGAGAGGGGGACAAAAAAAAGCATGTATGTATTTGGGCACTTACTGAAATGTATTTATTCAAATAATAGCTTATTTTAAGTTCATTTTTAACTTATTTATAATTTGAAAAATGAGTTTTTATTAAATCCAATTGCATTTTATTATTATTATTATTATTTTAAACGGGATGAGCTTTGTTTTAGAAAGGAATGACTGGTGATTGAATGATCAGATGCATCTCTTTCTGATCCCTGTGGCTGCTGGATGCTGTTGTGCAAAGGGTTTATGGTGAGCACTGCATGCCTGCAAGGTTCAATTAGAGCCCACAGCTTCTTGGGCTCTAGAGGAATGTTTCCCAGGGCTAAAAAGCATTATGTGTAGGAGCTGTGAGCAGGTGGTGCTGGGCTTGGGGCAGAGTTGGAGCAGTTTGTGGTGGAGGTGTGGAGGTGTAGCTTCTTCCAGCACAGCAACTCAGGTATCCATGGCCATGTTTCTCTGTTCACACCACCTTTCTTCCTCTCACTGAGCTTTTCTTAAGGTTGAAGAACACGTGCAGGTGAGGAGAAGGTGCACACAGAGTGATTCCTTCTAACCCTGTTTCTTTAACCAGTGGTTTTGAAGCACAAAGATGAAAAGAGCCCCAATAATTGGAGCAAAAGAAGATGATGTGCTTATGTGAGTTGCTTGGTGGTTTTAGTATCCTTTTTTTTTTTTTTAAGGAACAGAGCCAAGGAAATGACTCCCCCAGCTTACATCACTGTGTGAGCGTGGATCAGGTAACCCAGTTCTGCAGCTCCTGGGACAGTTCTGATGTCCAGGAGTTCCCCAGCTGCTCTGCACAACTTTTACCATTTCTCCCAAATGAATTCAGCTTCTGTGTCTGGGATTTCAGCATCTGACACAGAGGGAAAAGCACTGCCTTTGCTCTGGAGAATCAGGAGTCCTGGAATTAAACGTGCACGTGTGTATCCTGAATGTGAAACCCTGCCATTAGTTCAGATGCTAGTAACACAAATTCAAACTGATTCCTAAAGCATGGTGAGCAAACCCAGCCCTTCCCTCTCTGTGATGTTTCAGGATTTCAGCTCTTTATGGCTGGTTGGTCTCATCCCACAGTAGGAACATCCCTGTTTTCCCTGGCTGTGGCAGGGCAGTTGGAGATTCATGATCCTTGAGGTCCCTTCCAACCCGGGCCATTCTGTGATTTCTAGATTTCATTAACTTGCTCTGGTTGAGAATCTTCTCCGTTATGCTGGATTCATTTATTTTTAAAATGGGGCACGTGCTGCTCTCCTCCCACCTGTAAAAGCTTCGGGTGCTTGGCTCCAGCCAGGGGAGGTCCCTGATGAGCTGGGCAGAGGTGGAGGGCTGTTCCTGCATTGCTGCTTCCTGAGCTGAGATTGCAGCTCAGTTGAGACAGAGTGCTGGATTCTGTTCCCAGTGGCTCCTTGCAGATCCTACAAGCCAGAACCCAGGGAGGGAGCTGGTGATGCAGCAGGGCCTCGCAGCTGTTTTTCAGTACAGTGGGCTTGGGCTGCATTCAGGCAACCAGCTGGGTGTCTAATTAACTCCTCAGTTAATGAGGGCTTTCTCCTGTTTCAAATATTCCACGTGCAAAACATAATGCCTACCTCAAAGAGCTGTTGCCACGTTTAATGTGTTTGAAGGGAAATGGTACCGTGGGTGATTTGGCACACAGCATTGTGCTGTTGTTTACAACTCTGGCCATACGTGCAACTTTGTTCTTAGCAATCCTTGCAGGTCCACCTCGTCCTGCTGCTCCCTGCTTCTGTCTCAGTGGGACCGAGCATGGATACAGTGCACCAAAGAGGGTGGATGTCACATCATACAGAGCAGCAATACAGTGACTGAGGCACTTGGGTGAAACGTTTCGGGTTAGAAAAGGGCTTTTTTAAATAGCTGTAGACAGAATAAGTTGGCCTTATGAAAGGCCTAAAGGAGACTTTAGTCCAGGGAGATGCAGAAGCAGCACTCTGGGCTTTGTACCACTTTCCACATGCCAAGGGTGAAGCTGAATGCTGGCACACAATGCTCTCTTGGGCACTCAGTGCAGGTCTGTGTTGCTCCTGGGCTCTGTGCACCCTTCCGTTGTGGGGGAGAGTAACCCTGATTGCCCCATCAGTACATGAGGCCACAGATGACTGCAGAATTTCAAGCACAGCCACGTTCACTTCATTGTAAGGTTGGCCAGTTTGTTTTTTCAGTAATCAGAGGCAGGGGTGCAAAATATCACAGCTTTAAGACAAATTTACAACCCTTGATTTAACTAAATAGCTGAAATACTGTTGAGTTTTCTATTCTTTGGTCAGCTCTTTGTTCTATCAGCTCTGGGCAGCAGTGCCAGCACTTCTGTATTACCTGAAGTGCTCCCACTGGGAGTCAAATCAAGCAAGAAGCTGAGCTGTTCGATCCCAAGGCCTCACACTGACATGTGTCTGTCAGATTCCTGCATGCTATTGGCTTTAACATGTCTCCAGCTTGTTTGCAATGGTGATTCTTATGCGTAATTATTTCTCTTCTGGAAGGCTAAATTGGCACTGTGTGACACGCGTTGGCTTTTAATGACATCAATGTCCACTTCCAAGCTATCAGCTACATATAAATTAAATGGGCATTATTATGATTAATTTTTAGAAAGTAGTGTTACTTTCTGTCCCTCGCAGCTGTCTGGTTTTATACTTTGGGGTCCTGATTTCTCTCAGCCAAAAAAAAAAAAGGGAGGAAAATAAAAGAACCAAGGAGCTATTCTTGAAGAGCACAGCAGCAAAAGGCCTGCTGCTCCATACCGTGTTACTTGACAACAAATCTGATGCTAAAAATGTAGTTACAGTATTTGTAAAATTAAAGAAAAAAATACAGTATTTGTAAAAGCTGTACATTTCTGTATGTCGGGAATAAAAAAAGAAACCTCTCTGAAGTACGTCTGATCGTTGATGAAACTCAATTCTTCCCATCTGTGACAAATCCTGAATATTTCAGCACATGTGCTGCTCTGTTTGGGTATCCGCAGTAACTGACATTGCTTTGCTTGTATCCAGTTGCTTTTACCATTTAAATAACTGAAAAGTCTTTATCTTTTCCTGTAGGACCAGCACTTGCTGTTTTTTTCTACACCATGATGTAGTTTGGTACGGGCAGCCCTGCAACTGAGACTGTTCTTTAACATGGGAAGGGCTCAGTAGGTCTAAATGACCCACTGAGAGCAACTGGGGAAGAATGGTTCCTCCTCTTGCAGCTGAGCATTAACCAGTCCGCTTTCAGGCAGTTATTACTAATTGAGTTTATTCAAGTTTCAAATTGCCACTGTAAGCAATAGAAAAATAGAATCTTCAGTTTACAAGTTGATTTGATGCCAACAGTGGCACAAAAGTTTACATTTCCTTTGCATGAAGAGATTAAAAATAGAGTGCATAAAAACGTTCAGGCTCAGTCTTTCAGGCTTAAAAAAAAAAAAAAAAAAAAAAAAAAAAGTGCAGCATTAAAGTAGCATATTAAAGGCTAGTTTCTCCTCACAGGGAAGCAAAATCAGAAACTTTTTTTTTTTATATACACTGTGCAAGTATGTGTTCCAGTAAAACATCCAGTTTCCAGCTGAGATGTTCAGGATGTTGGGCTGCCTGAAATAGTGAGCACAGCCCCAGCTCCCTCATGGCTGCCACCCCCATAATGGAAAGGCAGTTCCAGCAGCAGGAAGCAGAAAGGGCTGCAGGGACCCTGTGCAGCTGAGGGAGGGCAGCCTGGTGCTGGGAAGACTGAGCAGGCTGCGGTGTGGTGAGCCCAATCTGGGGCTCAGTCAGGTCCTGCTGCCTCCTCCATTCATTCCCCAGCTGGCTCAGTGCTGCAGTACCTCTGGCTGAGCTGCTCCTGGGAGGTAGGAGAGAAGACAAAGCTGAGGTGTGTGCACCAGTCAGACTTTTCCTGTTGCTGTGCTGTTAGAATTGACTAAAAAGATAGTGCTTATGAAGCACCTGTTAGACCAGTCCTGGGACTGAGAACGTTGACTGCAATCACCATAAAGTTTGGAGGGGGGCAGGAGGAAGAAGGCACAAGAAAGCCACAACCCTCTGTGTCAGCCTCTGAGCCTACTGCTGTGGCATGGAGGAAGAATGTTGTGGCTTCATTGCGTTGCAGCTGTTTTAGCATCTTAAAATCTTACAAAGGAAGTGCAGATAACCATAGATCAGATCATCCTTAAGGCAGCTTCCTTATGCCTATCTTTACGCAAGAGGCAACGTGCAGTTTATCTTACCTCTTCCACATATTTAGCGACTGTACCACTGCGTGTGTGACAAAGGACCTTTCTGAAGTACCCATGGCTCCAATTCTGCTGCAGCTGTGGAACTCCCTCCTACGTGTGTGGAAGCTGGCCCCACGGCTTGCATCCTCTCATGGCAGCTCTCATCTGCTCCAGTCAGAGCAGGTGGGGAGGTGAGGGAAGCCAGCCGTGTCCTCAGCAGGGCTGGGCAAGAAGCGAGGGAATTCTTGAACTAAAATCTCTTGCTGCTGCTCTTGGGTTTGTCAGCAGTTTTATACTCTAGATCTAAAAATTCTCTGTAACAGTCAGTGCTGAATGGCAGTACAGTGCAGAGTGAAATACCTCTTCTCTTTTCCCAGCTGGGACTCTAAAGGAGTGTCTGACTTTGGTCCTGAGCTTCTTCTGCTTCACAGGCAGCAGACGTGAAGGTATGGCTGGCTTCTCCATTCATCTCCCTCAGGGGGTGATAGCGATAATCACCACCTCCGTGTTGCCTCTCTGACCTGGCCTTGAGAAAAAGGCCCACATTTCCCATGGCACTAATTGCGAGAAGCAGAGCCAAGACAAAGGTCACGGAGATCCAGGTTCTTCTATCAGACAAAAGAAAAATCCACATAAGCAACATCTCCTGACCTGCTCTCACATGTTTCAGTGTTGCAAATGTTTTCTCAAGGTTTGTACTTCCTCCTGTGATGACAAGCTTGTGGTTCTGCTCTCAGGTAGGCAAGAAAAGGCTCTGCGAAAGCCTTTGAAAGGCTCCTCTGGCAGCTACAGCTAGTGGATATTTTCTGCTTTACACTCAGTTAGCAAGTGACCAACTGCAGCTGCAGAGAGGCTGCAGCTTCACTAACTGTACAGAAGCTGTGCACTGGTGTCGGGACTGTCCCTGTCCTTTTGTTTTACACACAGTACATCAGTGGAAGAGGAAAAGCAAATGGTATTTAAGTGTAAGTTGCTGCGTGCTAGGCTCAGTGTATAAATAGTCACCAAAGGTGGTTTCAGCTCAGCACTTGTTTTACAATTGGGTTTTAGCAGTTTGCTCCATCACTCTGTGCATGCATACTTGTCTGATTAGTGTTACACACTTACTCTGACAGAGAAAATTTTTCATTGCTCTTTTCCTTATCTGGGGAAGCCAAACACCTCCAAGCTGGAAAACAAAAAAGAATAGAGGGAAGAAAATGAGAGGTTAAAATTCCACGTAACAAAGGTAAGCTTAATGAAGGTAACAGAAACCCATGCCTTGTAACTAAGCAAACAGAACATGTGCCAAAGCTGCTCTTCCAAATACTCAAAACAAAAACAAACACACACACACACAAAAAAAGAAACCACACCACTGTACTGAGCAGTACCTTTGTTGAGCTGGTCCTGTATTGCCAGTTCATAGGTGATGTTACAGCTGCCTGTCTGTGGGTTGCAGGGACACGAGTGTTCACATGCACAGAGCTGCTGGCAGTTGGGCCCATACCTGCCCATGGGACATGCTAGGGAATGGATTACAAAGAAGTCAGCCTTTGTCAAACCTCCACGTGCTCTGAATTCATCCAGTCTACCACCCTGCAGTTCCCCCTGATCCCCAACCCGTCCTCCACGCCTGTTCTGTCAGCTGCACCAGCAGTGTCAGGAGATAGGGATGTGCTCAAGGCATCAGGAGAAGCTCAACCTTTGCATGTGGCTCAGGTGTTCAGTTTGCTTCTGGCCCCACGGCTGTCTCTGGCATTGTTGCTTTCAATGCATTTTCCTCCCTGCCACCTCTGAGCTACCGTCCTACTCTTTGGCTTGTAAGCAAAAGCTGGAGGGGGCCGAGGTGGTGTAATGGCCAATCCCTAGAGGGAAGGAGGTATTTGTGTTTGAAGACAAGTATCCAGACCTCTTTAGCTGTGCTGAATGATCAGATTCCCAGTCCCAAAGCTTCCAGCAGCTTAACAAAGCTGTCTGCCTCCCCCTGCGTTCCCCATCAGCCTGAAAGCACGGAACTCTAAGTTAACTGCCATTATTTTGTTTACTTCAAAGAGGTTTTTGTAAAATTGGGATCAGGCTGAGTGTTCCAATGCTGGGAACAAAGCATCACTGAAGTAACTGCACAGCAGAAGTTCACACCCACACCGTAATTAACTTGTCCTGGTGGCAGAGCAGGCTGTTCAGTCAGATTTGCAGGAGCCTTGAGTACTTCAGGGAAGCTGCAGTTACACAACTGAATGAGTTGCCAGCTCTTTACTGCTGTAAAGAGCACAGCTGCAGTTTCAAGGCTGGAAGCCAGAAGGGCCCTCAGGAGTCTTTGCAGCTGCTGACTTGGCTCACCTGAAGACTGAGCTCCAGGCAGAGCCTTGCCACTGCACCTCCAAGGCAAGGGCATTCAGGTATTCATGTTCTACACTCAGGAGCTTTGGAAAAGCAACACAGCTTTTCTGGGCAGAGACTCAACAGGGATCCATAGCCTTCTAACGATAAAGAGAACCCCTTTTCCTCTCTGCTCTCTCTATTTCATTTTAGCCAACTCAAGTTGGAGGGAAGGCCCTTAAGCTGGAAACCAGCAGCTTACACTCCAGCTGTGAAACTGACCTCACACTTGATTTGCCAATGTGAGGTGGTTCAAACAAGACAAGAAATCCTCTCCCCAGCCCTTACCATGCTCACAGCTTGTGCCATAGTACCCGGCCGGGCAGGAGCAGGCTCCATTCACAGGGTCACACGTACCACCATTCTGGCACTGGCATTTCTGGCTGCAAGCATTCCCGTAGAAACCGCTCACACAAGCTGTAGGTGAGCAGAAATCTCATCAGGCCTCACTGCAGTCATAAGCAGCCTCACCCCATGCTTATAGCCCAGAGCATTCCCTGGCCTGGGATGTTGATGTCTGCTCAGGAAAGCAGGTGAGTCTGGGTCTCAACCAAGGAGCAGCAGGTCTCACCCAGGGAGCAGATGAAAGGAAATAGGTAGTTTGCAAAGGGCTTAAATGAAAATGTTTCATACCAACCCTATTGTAAATTCTCAGGCTGCAGTTAAACTCACACTGACAAAGGAGAGCACACTGCAGCCTCCCCCTCTCCCCCCGCTGCTCCCTCTTGGAAAAGGCTCTTAGAGGAACCTCCCCATCACTGCAGGCAGCCAGCCCACAATGAAGGGGTTCAGATTATCCCCTTGTTGTCTGTGAAAAATCAGAGTGGAGTAGAAATCAGCATTACCTTCACTGCAGTTGCTGCCAACCCAGCCAGCCTCACACAGGCATCCAGCTGTGTAAAAACAAACAGGCATTAACAACAATAACACAGGTTTAGAAATAGCAGGAACTCAAGATTAGGAGCCTTGAGATCAGGCTGCTTCTGCCAGGGAACCATCAGAAGTGGAGTCCTGAACTCACCGAGTTTAGGCACAAACACCCACCCACGACAGCTGCCAAACAGGGCAGCTCCCAGCACACCTCCCACTGCTCAGATTTTGAGAGATTAACTCAGGGTCAGCTATTGGTACCCGCCGAGCTGTGTGCAGCAGGGACTCACAGGCGGTGCAGGTACCATGCAGGCTGCAGTTGGAAGGGCCACAGTCCAACGTGTCACAGGCTGGGCCTCTCCAGAAGTCCCCAGCACAGTGGCACTGGCCCTGCACGCAGTCCCCGTGGCCGCTGCAGTCTGCAGGCTCACAGGCAGGCTCGTGGACACACACAATGGTTGAGATGCTCCGAGGGCATCGCCACATGTTGTCAAAGGAGCTGGGAATAGAAGATGGGTCCCGTGAGGTGTGCGAGCACTGTGCTGCTTCCAGCCCTATGTGAAACAGGTTATACAACCACAGATACTCATCCTGATTCTCACTGGCAAAGGAGAATTTCAATAATATAAAATTAGATTTGAGTCAGTGTCAGGAGTTCAGTATTAACTCCTACTGGACAGGAGTCATAAATACAGGATTAAAAGTAACATGCAAGCAAAATGCCTCTTTAAGCAGTCTTAGCTTTCCTAACTTCGGTGTTCAATATGCCTTTATTTGAATGGTATTTGCTTTGATGAAGTGACATCACTGCAGTAACAGTAACACTTGGCTTTCAATGGCCAGACTGCAAATAGGACTTTCTCTCATTTCTTGTTTATAATCAGAAACAGCCAAAAACCTAAATCTAATGCATGCTATTCTTTAGGTACCCTGCATGAGGCAGGACAGGGTCTCCAAGTCAGTGCTTCTCTTCCATAACAACTATCTGTTTACAGATCTCTGCTAATCAGGGTGAACGTGTAACTCTGAACCTCACAGTGGAAGAGCTGCTTTCATACCCCATTCCCACATGTCCCTGATTATTAAGTGGAAAAAGTAGGTGGTCACTAAATTACTTTAGACTCTCTCTCTGAAAATCTTGACACTTGCCTTTACACTGTGAATTCTCAGCAATGCCAATGGAGTCCCCTGCAGTGGCACTGAGCTCTGCACACTAACAGGAGCTGTGCAGTGACCATGCAGCAGCACCTACCAGTGCTCTGAAGGGTAACTTGCGAGGGTCCCGTTCAGGACCAGCGTTGCCGACCCTCCACCATCCAGGTTGATTGCATTGATGATTCCCTGCTGTTTCAGAAACTCAGCCATTTCCCAGAGGTTGATCCTGCAAAAGCAAATGGTTCTTCACTGATCATTCATGCTATTGAATAATGCTGCTGTGCTAGAAATTGGGTCGCTTTCTGGAGCAGAAGAGGAGCAGCTCTCCCATCCCAGATACGCTGACCCTCTACCTGAAGGCTGCCATAGCATCCTGTGGCTCTGCCTCTCTATTACCACAAATTGTCAAGCAGTGCCTTTAGTTGAGCTCTTGAGCTCTGCACATCTCTGCCTTATAACTCATTACTGGAAGTTGCAGAATCCCTCCAGCTCTGGTGACAGAATTTAAGGACTGGACTTGCACCTTCACTGGGGGGTTACCACAATCTTGGCCTTACCCTCTAGATTCGGTCTGTCCATCCACATGAACCAAGACCAGCTGCCCCTGACTGTCATGTCCAACTGCAGTCCTGGCTGATATCACATTGATGAACTTCTCAAAGGTTCCTGTGCAGGAGAGGAAATAATTCACACAGCAGCTGGGTGACAGAATTGGCTGTTCAGACACAACTGCCTGCAAAACAGCTCCCAGCAAGGAGCTCACTAAACTGAGACACAATGAGAACAGAGCCCAGGTTCTTCTTCTTCATCCAAGACACCTAGGAATCACATCTGCAGAAGGAACTTGACTCCTGTCAAGTTTCTATCTGGCACCGGACAAAGAAAGGGGGTTCAGAAGCCCTCAGTTTTAAACTCCTACAGGAGGTATCACCTGCCTTGTTTCTCCAGACAACAACCATGTTGTACAACCACTTGTACAGTTCTTAGCAAATTCTCTTCAACACTGAGCAGATGAGCACAGCCTCACCATGTAGACGGTCTATTTCCAGTAGTACACTTGCTGCAGGCTTAAGGTAAAGCAGCACAGAAGAAATCTGGACCTCTTAAGTGAGTAGCAACTAGACAACAATTTCCAAAGCTCCCCTCACCTTCCAACAGCCTTGTGAAGCTTTACAATATTTACCTGTGGTTTGAGTTTCATCACACTCAGCAATTTGACTCTGATTGATGTACACTTCTCCGTCTCTCAGGAGCCAAACCACCCCGCTCACGAGCTGCACAAAAGGGTTTGCTTGATCCAAGACATCCTCCTCAGACAGGTAACTAGGAACAAGAGAGCAGGAGGGGTTATCCATAGTCACAACAGTGTCATGAAAAAGCCTCTTCTGCTGCTAGCAGGCTCCAGAGGCAGGGAGAAGGGAAAGAGGCTGGTGAACGAATGCCAGTTATATCCAAAACTAGAGGCCAAGCAGTGCAAAGCATCCCTTCAGCACCCAGAGTGGACCCTCTTCTCCCCTGCACCAAACAACTCCTGCCAACAATGCGGCCTGTGAACCTGAGCCAGGATAAGGGCAGAAAGCATCTGGCAGATCATGAGGGCCGAACCATTCCCAAATACTCAGGGATCTGGGGAAGTATCTTTAACACCTCAGCATCTGTCAGCTTCCACTCTGCAGAGCAATGGCACTAAACAGCCTTTGAGGGGGTTTTCAGCAACAGCAACCAGTCTGCCTGCAGCTGCTCTGAGGGATGCTACCTGCTCCCTCCATCAGGGATAGCTGCCTCTCCTCTTCCAGACAGCAAAAGCTTCCCCTGGCAGGCAGCAGGAAGGACTGTTCAGCTACCATTTCCATGATTAGGCACTGTGTGTCATGGTGGGATGCTTCCTAAGGGATATTCTCTCAAAAATGAGGGTGCTGATCTGGTTCATCAAAACTTGCTGCTAGTTGATGTCTGCAACACACAGAAGACAGCAGCAAAGGTTGGATCTGAACAGCTGTACTCTCGCTGTAAGATCTGCCAGTGTTTTTTTGTTTAATGCCAATTGCTTTACATGCTCCAAACACGTCTTGTGGGAGCTGGATGCTTACCTGATCGTTTTTTAGTGTGTAATTGTAGCTGAAGAAAGCATCCTTGTTTGAAGAAAAGCATAACTGAAAATACCTGAATGGAAATGCAGAAAGAAATCCCTTTTAACGATGGGATGTGAGCCCAGAATGACCACAGCTGAAAATTGATCAAACTGCACACCACTTTGCAGCAAACCTTGCTGGATCTGATGGCACATGGAAGTAGGCCAGCAGAGCAATGAAGGCAGCCAACAGAAGCAGCAGCTTGTAAATCAGTTTCCAGACTGCTTCTCAGTCTTCTGGGAACCACCACAGACCCCTAGGAACTCTTCTGGGACCTTTAGTGTACCTGCTGCTGCTGGGGAAGGATAGCTGCCAGGGGTTGTACTTCTGGCAAGTGCTAAAGTCCTTCTGTCAGCTCTTTCTGATCAAAGGGAGCTCTGAGCTTTTGCCTCCTAATTAGGGAGTGTCACACACCCTTTCAGCTGGTACCAGAAGAGATCTATATAGCTGCAGGGCAGAGACCACAGCTCTCAGGAGCCAGCAGATGCTGCAGCTTGTGCAGAGAGCAGCTGGAAACTACGCAGTGAGACAAGGTGACACCACAGGGTGTAGCATCCAACACAGCTGATACCCAGGTGCAGTCTGAGCTGCAGAAGGAGAATGCAATGCTCCAGTCTCAGGCTGCAGGCTCTCACTCAAGCTGGGGCTAAAGGAAGTGGTGTCCTGCTATGTCCTGGTTGAAAAACTCTGCTGGCAGGGCAAGTTGCTACATGGGGACATCAGTGCACTGCACAGCTGCTGGGATGATGAAAATGAGATGGACAGATAATAACCTGCAGAAAGAGAAGCCTCAAACACAGAGTACCCACAAGCAGCACCCAGAATCTGCTCACTGGGGTGACAAACCCTGTGATGATGAAAGCTGGAAGGCTCTCAGCTCTGGCAGTAAGAGGGAGTTCTTCCTGCACCCCCAGATGTGTGCCTACAAAGCAAGATTAGTGCTGTATGGGAACTGCTGAATCACGGCCTGAACCTCTGATTGATCACCTGAGGCAAGCAATGTGTCAGCCCTGGGAGCACAGGTGCAGGCAATTCACCTGTGCTGGTGGAAGGGGTGGAGCCTGGCTGCATCTCTCCTAGACCCAATTTAAGAGCTGACTACCAGTGGGGAAGGATCTCTTCTGGAGATTCCTACTTTTGGAGTTTTCTAGTGAGCTCAGGACAAGGGTAAGCCTAATCTTTTTGGTGTGATAACCTGCTTAGCCAAACTCTTCTATATTTCTTAACTATAACACCTGTATATTCATTGATTATACAAGTGCCCTACAGCAGGCAAGGGGTTGGGATTCCTGTGAAACCAAGTGCCAGCCAAACATGACCCACAGCAGCACCAGAGGTAAGTGAGTGATAGTGGGAGGCTGTCAGCCTTTCTAGAGAGGTCTGTAGGGGGCTCAGACTTGGGATGCTTAGGGAGACTGCTGAGGCTTCTCCAGCCCTTAGACCACTGCTGCCTACTGCTCTGCTGTGTGGGCACTAACAACGCTGCTGGGGATGCTGTGAGTGCATCAAGAGCATGGCTCAGAGGTTGCATTGGGATAGTGGTCATGTGATTAAAAAAAAAAAAAACATGCATAAAGAGAGATCACAAAAATCTTGGAGTGTGTTAGCTTTGTGAGAGACCTCCTAACATCCAAACTTGTGCAACTCTGTGGTGACTGGTCTCTACAACTTTCTGAAAGCAGGTTGTAGTGAGGTGGGATTTGGGCTCTTCTGCTGTATAACCAGTGATAGAATGAGAGGTAATGGCCTTGAGTTGCACAGGAGGAAGAGGTTCAGGTTGGTTATTTAGAAAAATTTCTCTGAAAGAGAAGTCAGATTCTGGAACAGGTTGCCCAGAGAGGTGATTGAGTCACTGTCCCTGGAGGTTTTTGTTAGCTGTTGTACTGAGGGACACTGTTTAGTGGGGAAATAGGGTAATAGGTAGACTGTTGGACTGGATGATCTTAGAGGTCTTTTCTAATCCTGATGACTCTATAATTCTGTTACTCAGTCTGGAGAAGATGAGGCTCAGGGGAGACCTTATCACTCTCTACAACTCCTGAAAGGATGCTGTGGTGAGGTGGGGGTCGGCCTCTGCTCCCAGGTAACAGCAAGAAGATGAGAGAGAATGGTCTCAAGCTGCATCAGGAGAGGTTCAGGTAGGTTAGTAAGAAAAACTTCTTCTCAGAAGGTGAGGCATTGGCACAGGCTGCCCAAGGAGGTGGTGCAATCATCATCTCTGAAGGTGTTCTGTGCAGATGAAGAACTGTAGAGATGTGGCACTGCAGGATGTGGTCAGTGGGCACTGTGGGATGGCTTGGGGTTGGACCTCACAATCTCAGAGGTTTTTTCAAACCTTAAAAACTCCATAAATGAACGCATCATTTGTGTGCGAGATGGGCTTACTGCACAGCGGGTAATGAATCCACCTTCAGGCAAGTAGGGGGCTACACCTGAGCAGTGCTGTTTGCCTGCCTGACCCCCGGAAGCCTGTAGGAGATTCCTGCAAACCCAACCCCCCCATCCTTACCCGAACACCATGCTGCCATCCCTGCGGATGCCGAACTGGGCGTTCTGCAGGCCGTGGGCGTTTTGCACCAGCCTGCCGTCGCTCACCACGTTCCCCAGGCACTTCCCGCTGCTCATGTCGAAGTAACCGCCGTTCTGAGCCACCAGGCACCGGCCCAGCCGTGCCGTCTCCTCCACGGTGACCCTGCGCTGCTCCCCGCAGCCCCCGGCACCGCCGGGCTCCAGCACCGACAACGTCCTCAGCGGGTTCCTCACGAAGGTGAAGTGGCCGTAAACGGCCCGGCGCTGCTCCTTGGCCGAGGGGATGTAGGAAACGAAGGTCCGGGTAGTGGCCGCGGGCAGCGCCGTGCTGTTGTCGCCGGGCCAGGCCTCGTGCGTCACGTTACCGTGCCGGACGGGCTGGCAGGCCCTGACGTGGCGGTGGCCGTGCCGCGGTCCGTGCTGCCCGGGCGGGTAGGGCTGCAGCAGCCGCAGGCCGGAGGCGGCCCTGTAAGACAGCAGCGCGCGGTCACGGAGCGCTGTCACCGCCGGAACGAGGCCTCGCTTCCCCCTTCTACCGCCGAAACCCCGACCGAGGGAGACCGGGCCCCACGGGAGCCACTCACCCGGCGTCGCCCGCCGCCTGCAGCCAGCCCAGCGCCGCCAGAGCCGCCGCCACAGCCAGGGCCCTCCGCCGCCGGTCCGCGGCCCCAGCCGACATGGAGGCCGCCATCTTGGCGGGAGCACGCCGCTATCGCGCCCCCTGGCGGCGGGAGGTCGCGCAGCCCTCCGTGCGGGTGCAGCCCGCCGTCTTGGCGGAGCACGCCGCTATTGCGCCCCCTGGCGGCAGGAGGTCGTGTAGCCCTCCGTGCAAGAGCGGCCCGCCGTCTTGGCGGAGCACGCCGCTATTGCGCCCCCTGGCGGCGGGAGGTCGCGCAGCCCTTCGTTCCGAGCGCAGCGCTCAGCCGGCGGGGTGCAGAGCTGCTGAGTTTTAACCATAAGGAGCGGCGGAGTACCACGCTGCGAGACAATCAGTAGGTAAGCACGGGAAAACTCGTGGTGTGAGACAGAGGAGGTTTAGTCGGTTGAGCAGAACTTGCACACACATACATGCAAAGCAAATGAAGGTGATTCTGCTGTCTCCCATCGGCTGGGGGATGTTCATCCCGTGTAATGCAGGCAGACGTGGGCAGCGTTCCCTTGCGATGCACTGCTGTCAGCAGCAGTGGTAGTAGAGGAACCCTCCGAGTGATCCTGCTGCTACAGCTGTGTGATGTGAAGAGCATCCGTCTGTGGAGAAAGTCATGACACAAAGCGATGCGGCTTGCCTAGGTGAGGATCTGTACTCCTTTACAAACCATACGCATTGGGCAGGCTGCAGTGAGGATTAGACCAGGAGATCAAACGGTACGACTGAATGGTGAGGCAGGAGGCAGAGATCTGTCTCCAAATTGTCATTTAATAGTACGATTCCTCCCTGTCAAAAGAATATATTTCCCCAAGAGCCTGGGAGCTGCTAGAGAAGATGCAGAGGACAACCACAGAGGTATCAGAGGGCTGGAACTTCTCCACTGTAAAGGCAGGCTGAGGGAGCAGGGCTTGTTCAGCATGGAGAAAAGAAGGCTGCGGGGTGACCTCATTGCAGCCTTCAGGACCTAAAGGGAGCCCACAAACAAGGGGAAATGGTTTGAAGTTGAAGGAGGGAAGATTTAGGTTGGATGTCAGGGGGAAGTTCTTTACAGAGAGAGTGGTGAGGTGCTGGAACAGCTGCCCAGAGAGGCTGTGGATGCCCCGTCCATCCCTGGAGGTGTTCAAGGCCAGGTTGGATGGGGCCCTGGGCAGCCTGGGCTGGTATTAAATGTGGAGGTTGGTGGCTCTGCATGTGGTAAGGGGTTGGAGCTTTATTATCCTCGAGGTCCCTTCCAACCCAAGCCATTTTATGATTAATGTGAACATCTGTGGTGCCTTCTTTCCATTAGGGGGGAAAAAAGGAAGTTGCTTGTACATTTCTAAAAAGAGAAGTTAGAATTACCTGGGGAATAACTGTGCCAATTTACGTTATTGAATAAATTCTGCAAAGCTGTTCAGCAGCAACTAGAACAAAGCTTTCCAAAAAGCACACCTTCATTTAAACATATGCAAAGTACACTTTCTTTTAAATACCTGCAAACATCTTTTCCCTTCTCTTAACTCTCCTGAGCAGCTTCTTTTGGTTTTCTACTCCAGAAGAGCGTTCTAATTCTTTACCTGGAGAGAGAAAAGAAAGAAATACGGGAAGTGGATTGCTGCTCAGTGCTGAGGGCACTTTCATTCCCAGTAAGACTTGTTAACACCTCTGCTTCTGAAGCTTCTGTTCTCTGAAGCAGACACAATGGCCCATTCTTACAGCTGGCCAAACAGATCTCCAGAGAGGAGTGTTACAGGTGGGCTGAGGTTTTGGCATTCTGTATGAGGAGACGTGTTCTTTGTGCTGAAGCCAGTGTAGCATTTATGAAGGATTTTGTCTATGAAAAACACTAATATTTGGTCCTGTTCCAGTGGAAACAGGGAAGCATCCTTTGAATTTTCAGTAATACCTTAGAGAAATGCTGTGATGTAGCTCTTATGTGCATCCTGCACATTTAGACAAGGTATACCACAGCTCCTGCAGGGTACTGCTTTACTCACTGGGCTCTCCGAAGCATCCTTCCTTAGGCATCTGCCAAGTGAGAATCTTCTCCAGCCATCTGAGTTTGTAGAAATCAGAGAAACCAGACATGCCACAGAGCATAACTAAGGGAAACAAGATGCAAAAAAACCCAGCTTTTTAATTTTTTCTTATTGCTTTATATGCTCCCCAGCAAGAAACATGCTCATAAAGCTTACCCAAAATCATGCCACATTAATGCAAAAAATCATTGTTATTAACAGATTTAGGCAAATCAATTCTGGAGTTGGAAATGATGTCCCTTACACTGTAGTCTTTGTACCTACACTAGACCACAAGCTTTATTTAACTACCCATCTTAAGTTTTAGATTAGCATTTAGCTTGTAAGATTCAAGATAGATACTCGAGGTTGAAGTTTAAAACATTGTATAGCTGATTAACGTAGCAAATCTCTTATTTTTCATTAGGTGATTCATTACTACTGAAGAAATAGCTTAGTTTTCATTATTTTAATATTGGTGGTAGGTGGACTATAGGGCTGGATGAACTTGGAGGTCTTTTCCAACCTTGGTGATTCTATGATTCCACAAGAACATTAACCATGTTCTTGGTTGACTGAGAACAGGCTACGTACTGTTTTCCATGAAAAGGTCTCTAGAAGAAACATTGAATCCATTGTTTTCGATCTCCAAGTTTATTTTCATCATGCTAGCACAGAAAATATTCTTGTAATCCTGGGTCCTTAGGAACAGAAGATCAGAGCATCCTTTCTGGATACAGAAAAAAAAAAAACCTTAAGTTCTTGTTCAGTATTTTTCCCCTCTCCAATCTGGAATAGGGTAGAGGGGATCTAAGAGCTATGAATTGGGATAGATAATCTTACATAGGATTTAAATATTTTGTGAGAAGTCAAATCTTGTTATTTTATAGCAGGATGCATTTTCACAGACCACAGATTCCCCACAATATAACGGGTCTTTGTTAACAAACATTGGATGGATGGAAAAGGATGGATATCCTATCAGTATATGGTAGCTACACAGCAAGCAGGGACCATCTCTGCAGCCTGTTTCAAGACTAACAAAACTTGCTTGGTTATCTACCCATGCTGTTGTCCCAGTAGACACAGATCCTACATGGTGCCTATTATCTTCATCTAACCTAGGTTTAGAGATAGTGTTTGGAGAAACCTGTCTCAGGCTCTCCTCCTTCAGTTCTCTCTTTTCAATGCAACCCTTGCTTTCTCTTTTTATTTTTTTACTTTTACTTTACTTTTTCTTCTTTTTACTTTTTTTCCTTTACTTTTAAGGTGATTTTTAAGATCTTGGGTTTTCTCCCTTGCTGGACACTTGGCAAAACCACAACTCCTGCCCAACTTAAACACCTTCCTAGCATGTTCAAATCCATTGTTATCTGTGTATGATGTTGGCTGTCATAAATCTTTAATAATAAAGTTTGTCACATACCACATCAGCAAATAGGAAGTAGAGGAGCTGATGAGACAAGCAGTAATTTGAGCAAGCTGGTTTTGTCATTGCGTTCCTACAGGCACTTGTGACAATGCAGGAATTGCCGTTCTCTTTCCTGTTGAAGAACAGCAATGTAGATAAAGAGTCTGATACAGGGAGTCCTATTCCCCTTCCTGTACAGGAGAAAGTAACCCTCATTTTCTACTTCTTAGTGTAAATACTGACAGACAGTAGAAAAGTCTCTTAAAACAGTGGCAGTCAGAAAGGATGTGCTGATGCTACTGAAACTTACCATGTTCCTAGCAAATACGTAAAGCATGCATCGCTCATTTTCTCTGTGAAACAGTTGGCAGCATCAAATGAAGAATAGGCCATCAGGGGATCAGTCTGGTTCCATGAATGGGGAATGATCCAAAAATGTGGTCCTAAAATTGGTGCAAATTCTGAAAGCAAATCATACAAGCAAGCCTTTAATTTATGGTATAGTCAAGGGAGATATCAGCTCCTGTCTGATTTCTTATGTCTATACCCAAAGGTACTCTTGCACCTGTGTGGATGTTGCCTTTCTGTGGCCTTCAGAACTAAACATCCCTGCTGAGCATTCTTGTCCTTAGTCCTTTCCCCCAGGCCACCCCAAAAATCAGCAGGTTGATGACTTCCAAGTATTCAGATTTGTGTTGCCGTGCTCTAGATGCTCACTGGCCTTTCTTTTCTAAGCAATCTTAGGATAGATACCAGATTCTAAGCAAGCTGTTTCTTTTCATTAAGTCTAGCATTTGTGCTGTTGTTTCATTGGGTAGAGGCAGTCACTGCAATACAAATACCTTGAGCCAGAGCAAGAACTATATTTTCATTAGCATCAAAGCTATTTTTACCTTTGAAATATTCAGGGTCAGTCTGCGCTAGGGAATGTGTTGCTTTTTCAAGCAGAGAAGACAACTTCTTTATCATGCTTTCAACTTGTGTGTGCTGAGCAAGTAATTCACGTTCCAAGGGCCATTTTTCTAGGGCTCCTTTCAAATAGCCTGCAGAAATACAATCCATTTTGTTATACTACCATAAGGTCTCAGCCCTCTCTTTTTTTTTTTCCTCCTCCTATTTAAAATACGGAATTCTGCAGCCTCCTCCTAGTGACCACTGCCACCACTTCTTAAAATGGGATTTAATGTAGAAGCAAATCAAGTAATCCAGTATTTTAGAACATACTATTTAATTAGATGCAAGATGGCAGATGACCAGTGCTCTTTTTGTGTTTGTTTCTGTGAGTTTGGCAGATTGTTTTCAGCAAGTTTGCAGAGCATTCTGTTAGTCCTCCAACTTCTGTAGTTGGCTGGCTATGCATGTTTGTACTCCAAGCTTATATGAGCAATATCAAGTTACTACCTTTACTGTCTTGTTTATAAAGAACATTTAACTTGAAGAACAGATCTTGACTCCTTCCTGAGGTGACAGAGTAGCCACGTATTCAAGTTACCACCTACTCTCAAGTTCCTCTGGTACACTGGAAGAAATGGATGTGGCTCAGGGAGTGCTAATGTCCCTCTGCCATCTCTGGTGCACCTGTGTTTCAGATAAGGCGGGTGCTGAAGAAGGGGAATGCTGAGAACACAATTGAGCTCTGATCCCAAACTGGGGAAGGGCCCCTGTGATAAGGAAGTGTCAACGCTCAAGGTAGCACAGAGTATACATGAGTTGACTGTGCCTTTTATTAGTCCTACAGTGTGTGTGTCGAGTCAATTTTTATCCATACCTGGTTTGGAATATAATGTCAAGTATTACCCAATAGTTTGAAATAGTCTTTTTACCATTCATTCCATTCCTTCCACTCCAGAGATAAACCAAATGAGTCTCCTTAAAAAACAAGAAGAACTGAGGTGTCTTTCTTCTAAGACATAACTGTGATGCAAAGAACAGCTGGATCACTACTCCTTTGCATTTAAGGAGCTGACTCAAAAACATGATAAAAATTAATCTAGAAACTTATGTGTGTATATATGCTGTGCTACTAGCAGTCAAATCTGCTTAATGTAAAGAGTAAAGAAAGCTGGTATCTCAAAAATGCCATTCTGAGTTACAATACCTTGCAAAACACGAAATCCCAGCACTGCATCTAGATTGATGTCCCGATACCGATTCTCTATGAAGACAGTCACTTTCTCAAGCACAGAGATGATGGAGCTCCTCACATCAGGCTCGGTTTTCAAGAAGCTACCCTTGCAGGCAATGAACAGCAGCAAGAAGAGCAGGTACAGCATTGCTGCTGCACTCAGAGGTTGTCTGACTTCTGAATAAATGCCACTCGCTCCCAGCAGGTCCTGTTCTGTGGGACAGGATGTCTTCCCTTGCCAGTTTAACCACAGGTATGCTGGGGTGGTCACACAGCCTGGCTGCCAGCTCCAGTGCCAGGAAATGTCTCGGGACTTTAAATGTCAGCTAATGCACTCACATGTCAGTCCAACAGAGCAAATCCAGACCTTCCTCCTCAGCTTCAATGCAGTTCTTGTGGCTGCCATCAGAAGGGGGACCTTCTTGCTCACTGAGAGGTGAAAGGCTGTCCATCTGCAATTCAAAGTAGAATGCTGTAAGCTTTGTGGGAATGGAATGTTGTTTCTGCATTTGATATTAAAAAGAGCAATTGGTTTGAAGAAGTAGAACACAATGCATTTGTATTCTGTAACCTATCCTTAGAAATAGTTGATTTAAGAAGTAAAATACTGTCTATGTTAGCGGCATGTTTTAGAAACATTATTACTGAATTATGTGATTAATTCTTTCTTGCAAAACTGTAATAGTTGTTAAATGTTCCAAACAATGCGAGTATAGAGTTAGGGATTAGAAAGCATATTGTAGAGTTGTTCTGTTAGGATAAGAAACTGCCAGCAAAACAAAGACAGATTTAGCAAACATCAAAGAAGTCAGGGCCTCTAACAAGGCCGAACTGTTTCAGTCCGTGAGAAGGTTGGGTGTGAAGGCAGGCACCAGGATACTCCCCTGTCTTTCTCCTGAGGTGCTCTTTGTAGAAAGGACAAGCAGACATCTGCAAAATAATGATCAGGTGTGGAATAAGTTAGTTAATTAACTACAGATTTACGCTTATGCAGCAAAAATTTATGTTTGTCCAGTGTTTCCATGTTTAGTGAAGCGTCGAGAAGATTGTGAACCTGAAGTACTGAGCCAGTGAGGAACCAGGGGAGAAGATCAGCGTCGGGGAATAGGGAATAAAAGAGGTAACTCTGTTTTCTGTGAGCTCTCCTGCTTGCAGGAGGCCCGCCATTGCAATAGCGAATAAAATCTGCTTTATCAGAGATACCGTCCTAGAAAATTATTTGGGTATTTCCTACAGCGTGCACAGTGTTTTTGAGGAAAGTACTGAGAAATCATTTCTTAGAGTGCAAATCATTTCTTAGAGTGCTTTTCCAGCCAGGGATGTGTGCATGTGCTGAGTGCTCAGGTGAGCAGACTGGCACACCTGGGGGACGAAAGGCAAGGGGGGGGTCTGCAGGTTGGAAATGAAGGGCTGTGCTGAGGAAAGGCTTTGCTGTATGTTTCTGCCTGCTCTGAGTCCTGACCAGAAAATACACCGAGTGTGTTTATCCATCCCTGTGGGGTGGTGGTGCACACCGACAGGGCCAGGCGGGGTCCTGAGTTGTGGGTGCTGGCAGGCAGGGACTGGGGAGAACGGGGAGACAAAATCTGTGTGCAGAACCGTTCCAGCATGGTGTAAAAGCTGTTGCCCAGGCAATACGTTTACTGTAGGCAGTGCTGAAGATGGACCCGCCTTCCTATACTCTTGTTTGGTTGCGTTCTGTGTGTGGGTAATGCTAACGGTGCTGCATCCCAACATGCTTTTGGTAATCCTGGGCACTGGCAGGTCTGTGTTTGAGCGTGCGGAGGTCCTTAAGAGCAACGCAAGCTCATTCTTTGGGTTCTCCTTTTCTCTTAATCGCTTAGTCTTTGTCGCTTGTTTTAGTTACTGAACACCAGTGTCCCGAATTAACACCAGAAGCCGTCCCGCTCAGGCGGGAAGGGGGCGCTGTGCCCGGTCGGGCTCCTCAAGATGGCGGCCGGCGGCGCCGCTCTGGCCGCGTTGGTGGCGCTGGTCGCGGTGACGGCGGCGCTGTGGCGGCGGCGGCGGGCGGTGCGCGGTGCGGGCCGGGTGTGCGTGGCGGTGCTGGGCGACCTGGGCCGCAGCCCGCGGATGCAGTACCACGCCTTATCGTTGGCCCGGCACGGACGCGGCGTCTCGCTGCTGGGATACTTCCGTGAGTGAGGGATCCGCGCTGTGGCGGGCGGGGCGGGGTGAGGTGAGGTGGGGGAGCCGCGGCTCTCAGCCTCCGTCCGCTCCCACAGAGACGAAGCCGCACCGCGACGTGCTGAGCAGCGGGGAGATCCGCGTGGTGCCGCTGTCGGAGCTGCAGTGCTTGCGAGGTGCGTGCGAGGCGGGCTGTGCGAGAGATCCTTGCTCTGTGCGGGAGATCCTTGCTCTGTGCGGGAGATCCTTGCTCTGTGCGGGAGATCCTTGCTCTGTGAGGCGCTGCGCCGCTGCCCGGAGCTGTGGGCGCCCGTCTGTGGGGGTGCGAATGGATACGGATGGGCTCGGGTGAAGCTCATGGGGTTCGGCAAAGTGCAGGGTTTGGCACTTGGGCTGCAGGAATGCCAGGCTTTGGTTCTGGAAGGAGCGGTCCTTGAGAGCAGCCCTGCAGAGAAGGACCTGGGGGTTTTGATAGATAAAAAGCTTAACGTGAGCCAGCAGTGTGCTCTTACAGCAAATGGCATCCTGGGCTCCATCAGCAGAGGGGTGGCCAGCAGGGACAGGGAGCTGATTGTCCCTCTCTGCTCTGCTCTTGTGAGGCCCCATCTGCAGTGCTGTGCCCAGGGCTGGAGCCCCCAGAACAAGAAAGACAGGGAGCTGTTGGAGAGGGTCCAGAGGAGCCACAGAGATGATCAGGGGACTGGAGCACCTCCCCTATGAGGACAGGCTGAGGGAGCTGGGCTTGTTCAGCCTGGAGAAAAGAAGGCTGCGGGGTGACCTCATGGCAGCCTTCAGTACCTAAAGGGAGCCCACAGACAGGAGGGGAATCAACTCTTTGAAAGGGTAGATAACAGCAGGACGAGGGGAAATGGTTTGAAGTTGAGGGAGGGGAGATTTAGGTTGGATGTCAGGGGGAAGTTCTTCATTATGAGAGTTGGTGAGGTGCTGGAACAGCTGCCCAGAGAGGCTGTGGATGCCCCGTCCATCCCTGGAGGTGTTCAAGGCCAGGCTGGATGGGGCCCTGGGCAGCCTGGGCTGGTATGAAATGTGGAGGTTGGTGGCCCTGCGTGTGGCAGGGGGTTGGAGATTCGTAATCCCGAGGTCCCTTCCAACCCTGGCCATTCTGTGATTCTTTGATTCATGGGGATGGTGATTATGTGGGCACAGGGCTCTGCTGTCACCAAGGGCTGTTACTTTAAAGCTTTCTGATCACTGCTGTTTTCTGACACATGTTGCTGTGCATGGAACTGTGATCTTCCCACGGGATTTTGTGCCATTTTGCAGTTGGGCCAAAGCTTTTGCAGTACGTTGTGAAAGTCATTGCACAGACTGTGCAGTTACTGCACACGATGCTGAGGATGGATCCGCCCTCCTATGTTCTCCTCCAGGTATGTCTGTGTGTGGGTAATGTTATTGGTGTTGCACTGCAACGTGTTCATAGCAGCTTTGGGCACTGGCCTTCTGTATTTGATAAATTCAACAACCTCTCTGTTCATTATGATCTTTTAATGGATTTTTAATCTCCTTTTTTTTTCTCTCTGTTCGATGTTCCTTTTCTTTATCTTATCACTGGTAGACAGTGATAGGACAAGGGGAAATGGTATTAGGGGGAAGCTGTTCACTGAAGGGCTGGTGTGGCCTTGGCACAGATTGCCCTGAGAAGTTGTGGATGCTCCATCCCTGGAAGTCTTTACTGGCAGGCTAGATGGAACTCTGGGCTCCCTGATGGGGTGTTGGCAGAGCTGCCTGAAATTCAATGATCTCTGAAGTCCCTTCCAAGCCATTCTGTTACAATTCCAGTTAAGTGTTTGTCACTGAGTCTTAGGATATTTTCCTCTTTTTTATTAAACAGAATCCTCCAGGTTTGCCCAGTATAGCTGTTGCCTGGGTTGCCTGTCTTTTCTGGAGAAGCAAGCTGATAATTGATTGGCACAATTATGGATACACTATCATGAGTCTGAATCATGGAAAGAATCACCCGCTAGTGCTCATTGCAAAATGGTTTGTACAGTAATTGCTTCTCTTTATTAATTATGTTCCTTTGCAGGACTTGAAACAATGGAAAGTAGAGAGGAGAATATCATTAGCAAAGGTTTGTTTCCATGAACAAGTTCTGGATTTTGCTATGTTGAATTTCCATTTTAGTAAAAGTGTTCTTTCAGATGCCTTTGTTAAAGACTTAGGAAGGTGTTGCTAATTGGAATTCTGCAGAATACACTAAAGATTCTGTCTAAGTGAATTTCTTCTGTATGTATGTAGCTTGAAGGAATCAGATTGTTTTCTAAAGTAATTTGTGAGCAATTTCTACAAATTCCTTTCACTTTTTATTATATACTGTAAGACATTCAGCTTAAAGGGTAGGAAGTAGTCTTGTACATATGCATGATAAAGTGCAGAAAGCACATTTTGTTCTAAGAAGAATAGGTTGTAACAAAAAAAAAAACTAATATTAATTAAATTTAGGTGATGGTACCCAATACAGTGTGTGCTCATGCCCTGTGAGCTACCTAGAAAAAGGAAAATGAAGTCATTAGAAACCTTTGTCTTTAAGTTGGTGTGTGAATGCTGCAAGAACTAAAAGGTTTGCTGATGTGGTTTAAACATGTTCCCATTAGTTGAACCTGTTTGGTGAAGTAAATGGAGTGCATATGCAAACTTGGATCTTACTGCCATAACTTTGTCTAGCGTAGTGTTTTTTATTTTAATTTATTATTCTCTAATACTGCTTTATACTCCAGTCCACCTTTAAAGGTCGTTTTGTTTCTTGCTGAACCAACGTGTCTACTTCTTGGTAACAGTTTTAAAAGCTTTAGAGAGTTGTGTTTTTAGGCTTTAAAGAACAAGGAATCATACATATCCCTTCTCGTGAACTGATATCACTGTAGTATAACAGTACAATTACACATCTACTCTTTGTAAATTAAGCTGAAGTTACTGGGAGCAGTTGAGATTCTTTTTGTTTGGCTTTTAGTTAGCATCGATGCTGGAGAGCAGTTACTGTGTGTGTGTTGGGGTTGCCTGGGGTTCTTACTAGGTTTTAATTTCTGTCAGGTATGAGAAGCTTTTTGGGCGTTTGTCTGACTATAACCTGTGTGTCACTGATGCCATGAAGGAAGATCTGCAGGTGAATTGCAACATCAAGTGAGTTTAATACTTGTAATATTATGTGTGTGCTCAAAGCAACATGAAAGCATGTAGCCCTGGTGAGCCTGGGTTCAGAGTAATGCTACAGAAGCAACTGTCAGGGCAATTTTGTCTTGTTTTTGTGGCTGTGTTTCAACTATTGAATAGACACCTAAGAAAGACATCCTTTGTACAGGATTTTTTGTTGGATCTGATGTTTATTTAACTGGTGAATTTATTCCATTACAGAGCAGTAACGTTGTATGACAGGCCAGCTTCTTATTTTAAGGAAACACCATTAGAACTTCAGCATCAATTGTACATGAAACTTGCCAAAGACTATGAACCATTTAAGCCACAGCATGTGTAAGTAAAGCCTGCAGTCGTAGTCCTTAACTGAATGGCACAAAGTTAGGGCATTTAGTCACCTTTAGATGGAGGCATAAGCTTCTGCATATCAACAGATGCCGGTCTTTGTTTGCTTTTGGCCAGGAGCAGATACTGTGCAAGTGCATTTAATTGCCACTGGAGAGGCCAGAATGAATGAAGTCATTGAACTGTGATAGCACATGGCTTGGTGTGTAAAACTAAGTGGGGTTGTTTGTTTGTTTGATGTAAATGTTAGCCCTGAGGAAATCTGTAACAGTATCTGAAGTGTGAAAGTAGTTGTTTAATTCCTGCTGGACTAGTTGGCAATGATTGGATGCCACATTCATAGCATTAATTTAGGAACTGTCTTAAGAATGAACTCTCCATTCGTTTAATATGGAGAGTTTTCAAGGTCTTGCTCTAAGCATTAAGCATTTTCTTCTGGTTATGTGCAGGATGTCTGCTGTAATGGACAGCTTAACAGGCAGCTGCTATACCAAACTAATGCCTGAAATGAAGGGGGAATCCACAGTATAATGTGTATAACAGCTTCCTTTTTGGCAATGCCAACCATTGGTTGTGTAGGTTCTGACTTTAATTAAATAAATGCATTGTTGGCCATTGCCCTCTAATAAGTATTTGACACAGCATGAGAAGATGGGGATGTGCTTATAGCAGTAGGAGAGGTTAACACCAATCTCCTGCCATCAGGGATGTCTCTGCAGTTATGACTGTTTCCAGAGAAGTTGGGTAGCAAATCTGAAACCAAGTGCTTGGAAATTCATGCTTCTGAAGCATTGCATTTCCTTCTGTGTTTGTTGGCTGTGTCTGTGTAGTCCATATTCAGGAAGTTCTGTTTATGCAGTACAGAGTCTGTCAGTTGGAATGCTGAGAGGTCTGCCTTTACAGAGAGGGATGAGAAGAGTGGGGATGTGATGAAAAGCAGAGGACGGCCAGCTCTTCTCATCAGCAGCACCAGCTGGACAGGTTTGTAAACTGTTTATTTTTAATACATTGGCATATTTTAATAAAAGAATATTAGGTCTGTTTGTACTTCCTCACACTGGACACTTGCCATGCTGTATTTCCATCACAAGTATATAGTTGTAGACTTTCAAAAATGAACATAATTGCAGCAAATTTTTAACAGGAAAAGGATATTCCATACTTAAATCTTTGAGATGTAACTGATTATAAATGCTAAAAACGTGGATGTTGCTAATAAGGCCCTTTCTTTCAGAGGATGAAGACTTTTCAGTCCTTCTGAAGGCATTAGAAGGTCAGTGCTAAGGAATGCCTCTCATCTGTACAAAGGGGGGTGCTTTATTGCTGGATAGTTCATGAGAGCTTTTTCTAAGTAATACTGCCACTGTATTCAAGTGAAAGTGCAGGTGTGTGTGATTGGTCTGCAGTGGTTTAAGAGTAGGAGCTGGCATAAGAAATGAGGCATCTGATTTCAACTCAGGGTGGTGTTGTGGGGGAATTATATTTCTCACTTGTAAATTGCAGTTTATTTTCTGAGCTGTGTGTATACTCTCCACAGGCTGCTGATAATAGGAAGGAAGGGAATATGCGTTGTCTCTTTAGAAACTACAGCTGTAGTAAACTCATGCAATGAAATGGCCAATATAGCTTAGTCAAAGAAATGTTTTATGGTTAATGCTTTCTAAACATGCTGTAATTTATTTCTATAGAGGTTTGTGGATTTAATATATGAAAACTTACTTTACAACTGTCTGGTGAGACATATGTTTATGAAGAAATCACTTGAAGTAGGAAGCTAAATTATTTGCACGCGGTGACCCTTTATGATCAGCCATCCATTTACTTGTCAGGTTTTTGTCTTCCCCAGGTTATGAGCAGTATATCAATGAGGGAGTCAAGCTTCCAGCCTTAGTATGTGTGATAACAGGTAATGCTTTCTTCGTGTTGTAATTCTTTCTTTTTGTTTTTTGCTAATAGAGATGTTCACTTTTGTACTGTTTGCTCTGATGTTGAAGGGAGAGGAGGTTGTGTTGTCTTTATCTGACTGGAAGTCAGAATGGTAATTTATAGTTGGATTCTTACAGCAGTGTAACCATGGTATGTTTTTAAAGAGGGGAGGCTCTCACCTGCCTGTCTCACACAGCTGTGGGTTGCACCATGCTCAGCATTTAACCTTAACATCTTTAATGTCGAGATGCTGCAGCAAAAGAAACACGAAAGCTGATGTTTGGAATGTTTTAAGCAAAAAAGTTTTCTTACTGCTGACAAAAAGTTTTGCAAAAAAAAAAAAATTGAATGACTGCAGTTTAGTTAACTTCCTCACTAACAGCAGACTAAATGTTAGTGTGATTTTAAGAGCAAACTGTTCTGTTCCTGATGGCTGTAAACAAAGTGCATGTCAGCACTGGCTGATAGTGATAGCAAGCTTTTTCAGTTTAGTGCCAGTTCACCTTGCTTTCAGGAGGACTTAATCTCTCAGGTGTCTTTTGGAGGGTGGTGGTTGGTATATTTTGATGCCTCTGAGGGAGTTTGTCACCTGTACAGCAGCATGCACTGATTGCACCTGATTTTCAATCATCAAAAATCACTGCTATCTTCTTTTTTTCCATGCTTTAAAAAGGTAAAGGACCCCTAAAAGAGTACTACAATGGCCTGATAAAGAAACTGCACTTTAAACATATCCGGATCTGTACACCATGGCTGGAAGCTGAGGATTACCCAGTTTTACTTGGTAAACAGTGAATTATGAAATAGATTTGATGTGTTGAAGTATGGAAAAACAATTCAGCAGAATCATAGTACCTGTGTTGCTATTACTGCCAGTTATTTTTTTCTCCATTTTTCTAACTGTGCTGCAATACAGTGTGTGTTCATATGTTCGTGTTCCAGTTCGCTCGCCTAAGCAGGTCAGAAAAGACACCTCAGTTTTTGACTGAGCACCCAAAAGAAGCTGAAATTCTAAATAATGATGTTTTTGGAATAGTGTTCCCTTGGCACATTCACGGTGTTGCATACAGTGTGATAAGCTCAATACAGTAGTCATAAAATCATACAATGGCCTGGGTTGAAAAGGAGCACAATGCTCATCCAGTTCCAACCCCCTGCTGTGTGCAGGTCACCAACCAGCAGCCCAGGCTGCCCAGAGCCACATCCAGCCTGGCCTTGAATGCCTGCAGGGATGGGGCATCCACAGCCTCCTTGGGCAACCTGTTCCAGTGCATCACCACCCTCTGGGTGAAAAACTTCCTCCTAATATCCAACTTAACGCTCCCCTGTCTCAGTTTAAAACCATTCCCCCTTGTCCTATCACTACCCACCCTCATAAGCAGTCATTTCTGAGGTATTGAGATGGGTTTGGTCCACAGAGCAGAACAGCATGGAGACCCCAGCCCTGTTCCTATAGGACACAAAACAGCTTCAGGCAAGGAAGGATTTCCACCATTAGAAAGAGCGGGTTGAATCTAATTGCCCCAAAAGAGAAAAGCTCCGTGTCCCATCCCCAGACCCTCAGGCCTTCAGCATCTCTACATGCAGCAGGAAATTAGTAAATTGCTATTTGTGTGATTTCCTAGATCTTTGCCCATAGGACATTTTTGTCCTGTCACATAACGTAAACTCCAGGCTTCGGCTGCTCAGAGAATCGTAAGTCACCGGAGGGAGAAAAGCAGAGTTGTCACCTGGTCCCTTGGAGAGACACAGCTCTGCACAGCCATCCCCAGAGCCTCCCCTGACACGCAGAGCCACGACCACACCGTGCGCCCTCTGCTGTCTGCTCACACTGCTGGGGCAGCCCCACAGCACGGCTGCACCCTGAGGTCACCACCCTCTGAGTGAAAAGCTTCCTCCTAATATTCAACCTAAACCTCCCCTGTCTCAGTTTAAAACCATTCTCCCTTGTCCTATCACCATTCACCCTCATAAACAGCCATTCCCCCTCCTGTTTATATGCTCCATTCAGCTATTGGAAGGCTACAGTGATCATCTTGTCCAGCTTCTTGTCTACCAGGACCCCCAAGTCCTTCTCTGCAGGGCAGCTCTCAAGGAGATCTTCCCCCAGTTTGTATAAATACCTGTGTTTGCCCCAGCCCAAATGCAGCACCCTGTACATACGTACTTATCCAATTTGATCTTGGGTTTCAGATCTGCCAGCTGAGGTGGCTGTAACACGTGGCGTTTATCTGGGAGTTGTTGAGTAGTGAAGATAACATCTCTAAAATGGTGTTGTGATTTCTCTGTTCTGGAATCACTTGAATAGAAGAGGTCACTAGTGAGCTGTGCAGCATATCCTGCCTGGATTGGGGTATCTCTGTGTGGGTATCTGTTTCGAGCAGGTGAAGAGGCCAAAATGCTGTTCTGTGAGAAACGTGAGATTTACAAATTCTCTTTAATTTGACAGGAATTTGCCTGGTTTGTTTCTAAATAGAGTCATATAGTTCAATATCTCTTGCTCATATGTAGCTCACATCGCCCAAAAAAAAACCTCCACATACATATGAGTATGCAGTAAGACCAGAAAAGCTGCTTCAGAGAATTCAAGGTCTTGTCTGCTTTGTTTGCTTTTTAGGCTCAGCAGACTTGGGTGTGTGTCTCCATAAATCATCTAGTGGATTGGATTTACCTATGAAGGTGGTGGATATGTTTGGCTGTTGCTTACCCGTGTGTGCAATATATTTTGAATGGTAAGAGTTTGCTTATTCTGCTACCAGGATTTAAAGGATCATATAAGCACTATTCCACTATTTTTACAAAGAGTTCAGCAGCTTCTGCATGTATCAATGAGATTCCAGTATCGTGCCATAACAACTTGGATTCAAAAGGACAAACTTCAAATGTCAGAGTTGTTTTATTTAAGGGCAGCTAAAAATTAACACCACTTTCTACAAACTGTGGAGCATTTAATGCAACCAGTTGCCTTGGAAATGAATAACCCATCATCCTGTGTTGCTGTATACTTCATTTAAAAAACAATCAAAGCTTCATTCTGCATAGAAGGTTTTTGTTGTGTGAAGAGGTGAATATATGCAGTAGTCAATGCACAGTCCTTTGGGGGAAAAAGTAGTTCTTACAAATAAATAGGTGTTAATTGCAAGTATCTCGTGTACTGAACATGGGCAGATTTTCCTTATGGATTGAAGTTGATTATTGCCCTCATTTTGACATATGTGCAGATAAGTGGCACAGTGACTGAGTGAGGGCCCTTTTGTATTGTACTGCAATACAGTATTGCAATACAAGTTTAATTTAAACTTCAGTAACTGCCTTTGGTTCCATTTTGTCAGGAGTTCAACCCCTACCTGCACTCTTCAAAGTAAAGATACACAGTGCAACTTTTGAAAAGTGTATGTCCCACTCACTTTTTTTCTATTTTTTTCTATGACTTGTTCCCAGTTTACATGAACTTGTGAAACACAATGAAAATGGGCTGATATTCAGGGATTCAGATGAACTTGCAGAACAACTGAAGGTAAAGACATAAGAGATTATTCTTTCCTACTAACTCTAACCACAGAAGTGTTAGTACGTGAGCTACATCATTCTTGTGTGACAATCATTTGTATATTTTGCATTCTCAGAGGGCACTGCTTTGCCTGCTGGGTCTTATTGGCCACATTTCTATTTGAATAAAAATCTGAAGCTGTCAGGAACATCCTAAATATTTCAATATTGAACTATGTAGAGGGTAAGACCAAAGATCGCATTCTTACTGCAACACTGAAGTTAAGGGTTAGCACGGGGAAAAGCTAGAATTAATCCAAAATGGAATGCAATGGTATTTTTGTGTTATTTTTTTTTTAACTTACAGATGCTTTTCTTGGAATTTCCCACGGTGGAAAGCAAACTCCATGAGTTCAGGAAAAACCTTCGTGCATCCAAGCAGCTGAGCTGGGATGAGAGTTGGGACCAGACTGTTCTTCCTTTACTTAGCCAGACTGAATGACTTTTTTGGAGATGTTGTGTCAAAAAAGCTACCAGATGTATGCAGCTCCAGGACTGTCTTAAGTGGTGAATAAACATTTGGTATTGTTTACAACTGTAATTTTTAACTGATCAGACATATCTCTTCCTTTTCAACTGGAGCTTCTTGTGTGGGTAATAATAGTGCAGAAGATGCAGCTGAGGTTCCTAGTTGTGTGTAAGTCTTTATGGAGGGTGAGGTTCCTGTGCTGAAGAGGCTGATCCTTGTCATCTGCCTGCCTGTATTACTTGGGATGGATCTCCAAAGCATGGGAGGTTTAGTTGAGGAACTCATGTGTCAAGTCTGTTTAATTGGGCTGCTTGAAGGCTTCTTGTAGCTGAAGGTATACGTGTATAACCTGCACCAGTTTTACCTCCTGTACAAGAAATGCATTCCTGGGTGATTTTATTCTGCAAGTGGGAAACTTCTATTTAATTTGAGTTTTTGTTTGAAATGATGGTACAGTATTTTTCTGTTTTTTCCTGTGGTTAACATTCCTGGCTAGTCTTCCCTAGCTAATCTTCCCTAGCCAAGTACAGAATATCTTCTTGTATTTTTTTAAAATTGAGATAGAACTACTTAATTTTAGAGGTTTTTACCTCTTTTTTTTTTTTTTTAATAGTGGATGCAAGAGTACAGCAGCCCAGCTGCTGGTATGGGACAGCTTTATTCAACACTGAGAGGAAAATACACCTTTCAGTGACTGTTGTGCTCATATACTGAATTTCCCTCAAGAAAGGAATGCATTTTATGTATTATTTCAATAGAAAAGGAAAAAAGATGAAATTAAAGTATGAGTGATGTAATAAAAGTGCACTTCACTTTCTGAGCAGTCACCCTGGTGTAGCCTTCATCTTTTTTTTCCCCTCCTTGTTAACATTCATATGCAGACCCAGTGCTTACAGGATGCTTTCTAAAAACCATCTTTATAAAAATGAAGGTAGCCATTTAAGGAATAAACATGTTTGGTTTTATCATAGAGTTGCTGCCTGCTTGGCTCTCTTAAGAGCCTTTAGTTCAGCAGTGGTGTGTTGTTGCAGTGGATTCTGCAGCAGTGTTTTTAAACCAGCTTACAGAGTAATCATTTAATATCTGCTTTTGCCAAGCCAGGCAGTCATTTGCAAATGTGACCTTTCTCTTCCACCATGGCAGACACACTTGCAAAGAGTGATTTGGTTCCACTGGGGGGAAGATGACAATAAGTTGTTTCCTGTAGGGGTCTGGCAGTTTGACTAGCTCAAATGATCCATAGAGATTTATTTGCTGATTGTTTCTCTCTACTGTTTTCCAGCAAATTCCTATCCAGTGTTACAGCAGTCCCCTGTAGCCAGTGATGCACATGGAAGTAAACTAAGCATTTCTCTATTGTACATAGTGATGCTGATGAAAGCTTTAGAGAGGTTTGTCTTCCTGTAATAAATTTGGTTGGATCCAATATGAGCCATCTAGCCATACAGAACTACTTAGTGGCACGAGGGCTTTTGTAGCAGGGAAGATAAAAGAAACTGCTGCTTGGCTTCTAGTGCGCATTAACTGCAATTCTTCCTTGTCAGGGAGAAGCAGCTAAAATAAAGTCTGGTCAGGTTACTTCTGTATATCCAGCTTCATGCCAGCAGTCGTGGGCTTCTTCAGCTTGAATGTTTCTTCAATTACCTGTCATTTGCCTTCTCTCAATTACTACAGAAGGAGGAAGTGAATTATTTCTTCATTTTCTTAAAGTAGCTTCTAAGACAACATCTAGAAATGCAAATTAATGGAGGAGAAAATAATGTATTCAGTTCTGCTTCAGGGCTAATACTGGCCAATGGCAAACTGGCTAATGGATTATGTGAAGTTTCAAAGCAGGTAAGCTAAGTTCTTCATCTTGCACAAGTAACAGTCCATGTGTGAGAGAAATGCAAATCAAGTTCTGATTTTTGTCAGCACTGCAGAGCAGAGATGTTCCTGTAGCATCAAATAATCCTGTGACACTGCATATTCTGTAGGCATTACTCATGTTGTTCTGGGATGACACACATTGCAATTTTGCAAATATGCAAGCATACAAAAAGAGCTGACATCAATTACAGCTGGTTTTAGTATTAAAAACGTTTATTATAAAACACTGTTCTACTCCCTTGTCAGTATGAGATGCACACCTGCAGGAGCACAGGGCGAGTCTGTGTTGTTTACAAATCAAAACTGCATTTAAATAATTGAATTCAGTTCTACAGAATCAAAGTGCATCACAATTAGGGCGTTTTTCTGTACAGCTTGTGGTGCACAGATGCTTATAAGGAGCAGCTGCTCGCTTGCACGCATGCTGGCAACTGCAGGAAGAAACATAACTCATCTTGACAACAGCTCGTGAGTATGTGGTACATGCAGAAGGGTGTTCTTGGTGCATGCCTCCCAGTGTGTTTCTAGAATTTAAGACAGTCTTGTAGCAAGGATAAGATAGTTCCTGCTCCTCTGAAATCCTGCGTTGTATTTACCAAATCTATATGAATAGTTGCAGGATAGTCACGTTGGGCTGTGTATCATGGAGAAAAATACTATTGCTGTGGGCTGGAATAATCTGCCATCTGATCCCAGCTTTATCTGCAAAGAGAAACATTGGAATCATATTTCTGCTTAATGAAATAAAGAGCAAAAGTTGCACGTCGAGTTCTGTACAAAGAGATTTCTGCATGCTGGTACAAATGTAGCAGCATCATTTTGTTAATTAGCCAACCACTGTGGTCCAGCTGTAGTGCTGTAAGGCTGCAGAAGATAAGGTTTTGAAGTGTGAGAAGTCCTGCATCCCTTCCATTTACTTAAATCTCTCCTCCTTTTTACAGTTACAAGTTGCAGGCTACATTTAAACCTTTTCACAGTTACAATGTAGGTTTTTTCCTGTTCTAGGCTTAACCCTTATGATCTTTCCTATTAGCAGCAAACTTGTGATGTGTCTCAAATTGATGCTGTAACAAATGAGAGTGGTGACAGGATGCAGCAAAAGGCTGAGATGTTTTAATTTCCTGAGCAAAAAAGAAATGTTCCTGTTCATCTCCACTACAGATTAAGTAATTGGGAGAGGCCAAATCTATTGATACAGTGAATGAAAAAGGCACCTACCAAGTTCAGCCTGGAACATGTGGTAAGTGTCTGCGTTACGGACTGTCAAAGCAATATAGATCTCAGGTTTTCTATCTGCTCTTAAAGTGGAGAACTTCTGTAGCATACCAATAAGGGATAAGGTTACCTCTGGATCATATACTACATCTGCATGGGAAAAAAAAGGGAAATATTCAGTATTAATTAAGAATTGAGCAGAAAGCAAGCTACGGAATATAAAAGATCAAATATTCACTTGAAGGAGGAAGGATAATTACTTTTAACTGAGAGATCAGAAATTTTCAGGAAGAGATTTTAGAAGATGCACTGTTTTCTATGATTCTATGATAAGCAAATTCAAGAAAACAGCTGTTTTCAGTGTTATCCCTCATGGGAATACTGAGGTTCCTATTTAAAATTATGAGGGTCTTAAAAGTGGCAGATTTATCATCTGTTTCTGGATTAAAAAAAAATGCAGAAAGAAAAAATAATTTGCTCTTCAGTGTTAGGTAAACAGCTGCTGAATAGATGAAACAAGACAAAATGGTGCAAGGAGCTGGGAGGCATTTCTCCAGGTACAGTAACTGAGGTAGGGCTGTCAGAGCCCTGTACACACATCATCACAGAATCACAGAATGGCCTGGGTTGCAAAGGAGCACAATGCTCACCCAGTTCCAACCCCCTGCTGTGTGCAGGTCACCAACCAGCAGCCCAGGCTGCCCAGAGCCACATCCAGCCTGGCCTTGAATGCCTGCAGGGATGGGGCATCCACAGCCTCCTTGGGCAACCTGTTCCAGTGCCTCACCACCCTCTGAGTGAAAAACTTCCTCCTAATATCCAACCTAAACCTCCCCTGTCTCAGTTTAAAACCATTCCTCCTTGTCCCATCACTACCCACCCTCATAAACAGCCATTCCCCCTCCTGTTTATATGCTCCCTTCAAGTACTTGAAGGCCACAACGAGGTCTCCCTAGAGCCTTCTCTTCTCCAAGCTAGATAAACACAAACATCTTTGTGTTTATTTCTGTTACCTGCTTTTTCCTGCATGATACTGCAAAGTCAGGCATGACCAGAAGGGAGAGGTACCTGCTGCAATGATGACATCTGCTTGCAGAGCCAGCAGTTGCTTTTCTGTAACTGAACCCCAGTCGAGCTCTGCAACAATGAGTTTGGGCTGTTGGTATTCCTGCCCTTCTGCCTCCTGCCCTTGGGCTGGATTCGTAGTTTCAGATTCCAGAGTAAAGCCATTCAAAAGGATGTTTTCTGTCAGCTGTTTGAGAACACAGTGGTGGTAATCACTGAATATGTATGTCTTGGGATTGCAGGTTTTGCAGATCACAAGTCCAGTGAAGCCGACTCCACTTCCTAATTCCAGGACTGTCCTAAAGGTTAATGGTGTAAAATAAGAATTGATGAGGACTTTGTCATTTAGTTGTGTAATCAGAATACTCCAAGTTTATCTAAAGATAAATTCAGCTACAGATTATCTCAATTTTTGAGCAAATCCTCTACAATCTGTTTGTTTCAAGCAACTGGTAAAGTTGGCAAACAAGATGCAATTATAAGAATTAATCACTGGAATTATTAATTCCATCATGGGGGTGAGAATCATTCCACCTCTCTCTGGACTTCTGCAGCAGTTATCTGTATCAGAACTGGATGTCCACTTCTTTTCTTAGTGGAGAGAAGCGAATGTTTCTGAAGCACAGTTCTTTTCTTCTTGAGGTACTTAAAATTAATTTAGCTGAAGCTGTGCCCAGAAGTGACCATTCCTTTCTGGTGCTTAAATACAAAGCATCTTTCAGTATCTACAGGGGGCCTATAAGAAAGAAAGGGACAGATTCTTTAGCAGGATCTGTTGTGATAGGACAAAGGGAAATGGTTTCAAACTAAAAGAGGGGACATTTGGAGTGGATATCAGAAAAAAGTTACTTAATGTTTCTGTGGTGAGGCTCTGGCACAGGTTGCTGTATATGCCACATCCCTGGATACACCCAGAACCATACATGGGGCCCTGGGCAGCCTGAGCTGTGGCTGACAGTCCCCACCATGGGCTGGGGATGGAGGGCTGTAAGGCTCCTTCCAACCCAACCCAATGCTGGGATTCTGTTGTAAGTTACTGGTTAGACAGCATGTGAGCAGAAATTCAACAGCCTACAGCACAGAGCAGATCAGAATAGGTGCTATAATGGTTTTCATCTTAAAGCCTGTTTTCAAGAGATGACTTTGTAGTTACTTTAACTGTTGCAGGATAGGAGGAAAGCAGTTGTTACCCGGCACCAAATCCCACTTCTGTCCATGATGCTGTTGTTACCTGTTAGTGAAAACCTTGGGGTTCTCCGTTGCCCACTCAGCGAGGTGCAGAGCAGCATCCCACGTGACGAGCCCTGTGGTTCCCTGAGAGATAATGGCCACACTCTCAGAAAGGGTCACAGGTTCTCCTGAAGGCTGGAGATCACACATGGCGGAGAGAGAGATGTCAGCAAAGGCAGCCGTGCTGTAGCTCACAGCAGTGCTGCAGCCTGGAAAAGAGGGCTGGAAGCACTCTGGGCTTCTGGAAGCGATGAACACTTTAACTCAGAATCACACAGAATCACAGAATGGCCCGGGTTGGAAAGGACCTCAAGGATCATGAAGCTCCAACCTCCTGCCACAGGCAGGACCACCAATGTCCCCATTTATTACCATCTCAGGGCCCCATCCAACCTGGCCTTGAACACCTCCAGGGATGGACGGGGCATCCACAGCCTCTCTGGGCAGCAGTTCCAGCACCTCACCACTCTCATAGTAAAGAACTTCCTCCTGACATCCAACCTAAATCTCCCCTCCCTCAACTTCAAACCATTTCCCTTGTCCCGCAGTTATCTGCCCTTTCACAGAGTTCATTCCCCTCCTGTTTGTAGGCTCCCTTTAGGTACTGAAGGCTGCAATGATTCACCCCGCAGCCTTCTTTTCTCCATGCTGAACAAGCCCAGCTCCCTCAGCCTGTCTTTGCAGGGGAGCTGCTCCAGTCCCCAATCATCTCTGTGGCTCCTCTGGACTCTCTCCAACAGCTCCCTGTCTTTCTTGTGCTGGGGGCTCCAGCCCTGGACACAGCACTGCAGATGGGGCCTCACAAGAGCAGAGTAGAGGGGAACAATCACCTCCCTGTCCCTGCTGGCCACCCCTCTGCTGATGGAGCCCAGGATGCCATTTGCTTTCCGAGCTGTAAGAGCACACTGCTGGCTCACGTTAAGCTTTTTATCTATCAAAACCCCCAGGTCCTTCTCTGCAGGCTGCTCTCAAGGACCGCTCCTTCCAGAACCAAAGCCTGGCATTCCTGCAGCCCAGAAGATCTTCAGAGGTCACCTGGTCCAACCCCCTGCACTGAACAGGTGCTTACTTTAGATGATTAAAAGTGATTTGTAATGAAGCAGTATCGTTGGTGTTTACCAGTAAGTAGCTTTTGTAGCAGCGAGTGGATTCTTCCTCGTTTAAGACAGGTGCCAATGCATCGTACAGCTCATCCAGGGGATCGGCCGCCGTGGATTCGTGCTGTGAAAAGAGAACAGAGCCTTCAAACGGTGCCCCAAAGCAGAGAACAGACGCTGAATGCCCAACTAACGACATGAAGCACAGAGGTGCGAGCAGTGCCGAAAGCAGCGCTACCTTCTTAATGAGCTCGGTGAGGAAGCAGCGTCTGTAGGAGGCGGGCGGGGGAAACCGCGCACACAGCGGATGGAGGACGGTCTGAAACAAGAAATCCGCCACTGAGCGGGGAGGGTTCGCGAAATGCCGACGGCTTCGTGCTGTACTCGGAGGCAGCGATGCTGAAAACACCCGGCCGTATTTTCCACGCGGTCCTTTCTGCCGTACCTGGTGCAGGATGTCCGAGAGCAGGGAGGACCGGAGGCGCTGCGGGGCGGCCGTCAGCTGCTGCTCCAGTTCCTAAAGCACAGCGAGAGCGGAGCTGAACCGAGCGGCCGAGCCCCGCAGCCCCCAACCCGGCCCAGCTCACCGCCCAGGGCATGCCGCGGAGCTGCCGCGCCGCCAGGAAGCGCCGCTGGAAGAGCAGCCCGAGCTCCGGCCCCGCCATCCGCCCGAGGCCGCCGTAGCCCGGCTCCGCTGCCGGCGAAGGGGAGCGGCGAGGAGCAGCGCCGTCGCCCCGAACGGGGACTCGAACCCAGGACTCTCGGATCGAAAGCCCAACGCTCCCCGCACCCGTGGCTGCGGCCGCAACCACGCGGAGTTGCACTTCCGGCGCGGCGCGATGACGTCAGTGTCGCGCGCCGTCGCTAAGGACACGGTGCCCGCTGCGCAGCTCCGCACCGGGGCGGAGGCCGGGTCGGGTCCAGCAGCGCTATGGGCGGTTACACCGCGGACGAGAAGCTGCGGCTGCAGCAGCTCCGCGCCCTGCGGCGCCGCTGGCTGCGAGACCAGGAGCTGAGCGAGCGGGAGCCCGTGCTGCCGGCGCGGCGGCTGGGGCCCATAGCCGCCTTCTGGGAGCGCTTCCTGCAGCCCGGCGGCCTCTGGCGGCAGAAGGTGAGCGGGCCCTGAGCCCCGGCCCTGAGCCCCGGCCCTGAGCCCCGGCCCTGAGCCCCGTTCTGCTGTCCCGCAGGTGTTCAACGCTTACCAGACCAGCGGCTTCATCTTCGTGCGGGTGCTGATCCCTGCCTGGATCCTCCACTATTACGTGAAGTACCACGTCTCGGTGTGTGCACCGCGGGGCTGGGGAGACCTCAGCAGTGCCAAAAAGGAGCTTTTAAGCAGGAGCGGGAAGGGGTTTTTACACGGGCAGATAATGGTGGGACAAAAGGGAATGGCTTTAAATTAAAAGAGGGGAAATTTGGGTCGGATGTCAGGGGGAAATTCTTTATCCACAGGGCAGTGAGGTGCTGGCACTGCTGGCCAAAGCTGGGGGTGCCCATCCCTGGAGGTGCCAATGGCCAGGGATGGGCCCTGGGCTGAGCTGGGGGAGGGCAGCCTGTCCACAGCACGGAACCAGATGGGCTTCTGACCCAACCGTGCTGTAATTCTGTTATCATCACTGATCCTGGGAGATGCTGGGCTGCAGCTGTTGGTGTGGGAGGGAAGCAGCAGTGACCTAATGCTGGGATAAAGCCCCCATTCCTATGTCTTTTCTGGCTGGTAGTTTTTTAATTCGTAAGAACCCAGACTAGTGAGCTTTACACTTAAGGATGTATGTTTTAGAAGGGTTATACTCTCTGTTTTGGAAATTCTCTATACTTCATCTGGGTGATGTTCCTTTTTCTTTCTCCCCCTCTGTGCTTTCAGAAAAAGCCGTATGGTATCATTTCATCCAATCCAGCAATATTCCCAGTAAGTCCATTCATACTTGTACTATCTTCTAGCTTTATTAAACAGTGGCAGAGAAAGGATGGCTTCAGAAGTAGGGGTTGGTGCAGCAGCTGTGCAGGGAGGATTTCTGGAAGGAGGCACCTGATGCTCACAAGGCAGCTCATCCTGGAGCAGCACTGCACAGTGGGTACAGTATTTGTTGAGCCTTTAGAGTAGACAGTGCTGATTTCTTTATCACTTTCCTTGTCACTGCAGACTTGTAAGTATTTGGGCTGACAGCTCAGTCCACTCTGAGCAGTAAACACCATCATTCTTCCCAGGGCTTTGATAGTGCCTGTAGTGGGTTCTGTTGCTGAGGGGCACACAGATACCACAGGGGATTCACTGGAGTCTGAAGCTTTCTTGTTTGGTTCTCAGTTGGGACAATGGACAGCATCTGACAGACTGTTTGGTCTTTACTGCTTTTCAGTTGCTAGCTGATGGGCATAGTGAGTTGGTGAGCAAATATTCTCAAATAAAAGTTACACCCCTAACAACTACATAGCAACATACTGAAGATCAAGCTGTGAGCTGCTGACTTCAGCCTGATCACTCAAGCTAGGTCAGCTCAGCAGGCCAAGGCAATGCCTGCAGCTTGAACAAGCAGAGGTCAGGCATTGGGTTGATTTTGCTGAGGTTGTGTAGCTCTCCACATTCAGCTGGCTTTTGGGTTAGAGACTGCGTGGAGATCAGCAGGAGTGGTGCTGTGTTGGAGGTGGTTTTGCAGAGCTACAAATCCAGTGTACGTTTTTAAAGCAATATTCACTTTAAATGCTCAGCTGCTTTTCTGTGGCATCAAAAGGGTGAAGAGTACAGATTTCACAAAATGTGGCTGTGGTGTTACGGTTGCATCTTAAGAAATGTTGAGGAAATTACACCGTTCTGAATAAATTGAGTTCTTGTTTAGAAGTGGGACGGTCACAGTTTGATTTAAAGTGTAAAGGAATCGATTGTGTGCAGGAGAAAACCTCACCATGTTCTCTCATCCCATTAGGGGGACAGAATTTTAGAGACGGGAGAAATTGTTCCACCTCTGGCAGACGAACCTTCTGAGCACCACTGACAGCTGAAAGCCGACGTCCTTCAGCAAAGGAGGCGGGAGCTGCAGCCACCTGTGTTCTCTCTTCTATAAAAGAGTCTTTATTCTGCATCGCCTCATCTTTTCTGTCATTTACTTTCTCCTTAGTCCAAACCCTCCCAGTCGGTACTTACGTGGGAGTTTCCCTTGCTTTCATTGAGATTTATTGCTAAGCCCTGGTGATTTCCCCCCCCTTCTCCTCCCAGCCATCCCTTTTTTATCTGGCCTGACTGTCGAGCAGTGTGGGCTTTACAGTAATGGTAGGGACAGTATAGATTGCAGGGAATTGGGCAATAATCTGCTCAGAGGAGGGGTGTCATGGCAAGCTCCTGCACACAACAGCTGTCCTCTACCAGACAGCCCAGCGAACTCTCTTCTGCTAATTTCTGGTATTTACTGTGAAAATTAAGCTTCCCTCTGTGTCATCCCATGTCCCAGCCAACAGAGGGGAGCAGAGACAGCACCATTGCATAGTGGTGCCATCCTCCCCATCCCAGCATATGAATCGGTGTGATGTGGGTTTAGACACAGAATCCAGCTGGGAAGGAGAGCAGAGGTTCCTGAGTCATCCCAAAAGGTTGGTTGGTTTGTTTGAAGAGAAGTAGGAAAATGAGGTTCTGAAGAGTGAAGCCAAAATTCCTTACTCCTTCACCTTTAACACTTCATTCTGGCTTCAGCGTTTCCTGTCTTGGAATCCTCCTGCCTTCTCTGTCCCCTATTACCTGTGGCATTTTCTACTGGGAAATACCAGTCTTTAATTTAGTGCTAAATCTGCAGATATTTTGGTGGCTATTCTGGTGATAGAAATGACTAAAAGAGGAATTCCGGGTGTGCCTGGAGGCACGGAATTGTGAGGGGCTGGGACAGGACTGTGGTGACCTCATGGAACTGTGTATTGGCAGCAGTCTCTGTTGACATTTGTGACATCAGGCCTGCAGAGCTGTGGCCAACACGTTGGATGAAAACTCTCCTGCAGTCAAAGGAGATCCAGGAGGCCATGGACCCCTTGACAGGCAGCCAGGCACATCCCCCTGCTCCCCATTCTTTGCTGGTCCCCCAGGTCCCCACCAAGTATGCAGCCACTTCCACCCCTAGGTAAAAGGCAGCTCAGGGTGGGTACAAGGAGTGGGGAAGTGAACAGTGGTGGTCGTGGGCTGTGGGGAGCACCGGGGGCGGGGGGGAGCAGCAGGATCTGGGGAAGGGGGACACTGGAGAAGCTAGAGGGTCTATGTGGGGGCTGGAGGGAACAGGGAAGAGTAGACAGTAGGGAGATAATGGGGGTGATGGAGGGTTACTGGTGGTGGTAGGGGACAGCAGGGTTAATGGAGGGGTTGGAAGGGTCTCATGGGTGGGCGAGGCGCTGTGCTTCCTTGCCATGACTGGGGGGTCACTGCCCCACGATGTGTCAGCTCTCCTGGCACAGAGTTGCCCAGGATCAGCTCTTCCCAAAGCGGCTACAGCCTGAAGCGATCCTTCGCCTGCACCAACTTGCTGCTGCTCAGCCTGGCCAGCCCCGATGGCTCTGTGGGCAGTGAGGCACCCCTTGTCCCCCACATACGTGTGTCTTGCTCCAAGGATAAATCCAAGCCCACCGCCTCCACGGTGAGTGACTTCTAGGGATACCCCACATCCCTGGGAGCTCCCTGGTACCCCACCACACAAATGAAGACTGGGGACATCCTCACACCACTAGGGATGCCTGATACCCCCAGGGAAGCACTGGCACTCCCCACCTGTAGTGACAGATCCCCCAGAAGTGCAAGGCATTCACAGTACCTCCTGAGTTCCATGGACATCACAGCTCCAGCACCCCTAGGGGACCTGGCAGTTCTCCCCCTAATCACCCATGTCCCATGGAGGTGAGGCTTTGGTGCCTGTTCTAGGACACAGACTTGGTCCCAAGTCTCAAGGACTGGTGTGCTGTGTCAACCAGTGCATGTAGAGCTCTTGTTTGCAGGTGGAGAAGAAAGGGCTGGGGAGCATGGGGCCCTGGGGTTGCCATAGGAAGGGAACAGATAACCAAGAAAAGAGAGGGGCTTGCCTGTCACAACCCCACCAAAAAAGACAAAACATGACAGCATGTCATGGGATGGTTACAGCAGGAGAACTAATTATTACTGCAGGAGAATTGATCATCACCACGACTGTCCCACTGATGATGTGCCACACAGCCAGCAGGACCAGGCACCCACTGCAGGACATCACAGTGCTGAAAGCACATTGCTTCTGTGCAATGAATATTCCTCTGTACAAACATGGTGTGATTGTTACTTGGGGCTTTATCTCTCTGAAAAGTCCTTCTGAGTCTTATTTATATCACCCACGTTTAGCACAAGAGGCTTTATCTTGACTGAGATATTGAGATCAAAACTATTTGGTGTTTGTACAAGACATCTTCAATGTCCTCTGTGTTACACGTAGGACCCCATATGCATGTATGCACACGAGTACACCTACTACATAACTGCACACACACACAAATAGAGTTTTAGTCAAGAGTTGCATATTCTTTGCACCTTTATTGCACAAAGCTTTGCTACAACAGCTTAAGGACACGTGGAGGAGGATCTCCTTGTAAATAGGTATTGCATCACATGCTCTGAGCCATGGCATTCCTTCAGAGCTCAATCAGGTCCTCCTTGTTCCTTATAGAATAGAATGGATCAGGTTGACAAAGACCTTAAAGATCATTGAGTCCAACCACAACCTGACCATACTCCCAACTCCAACAGCCCACCACTCAATCGTGTCCCTGAGCACCACATCCAGACGTTTTTTAAACACGTTCAGGGACAGCCAGGGACGCATCCCCAGTTAGCCAGGACTGCTGAAGGATGATGGATGAAGGATGGCCACATCTGCCAACTCCCTCAGCACCCCAGGGTGCAATCCATCCGGCCCCATGGACCTGTGGGTGTCCAGCTTTCAAAGCAGCTCCTCTCCTCTCCTCTCCTCTCCTCTCCTCTCCTCTCCTCTCCTCTCCTCTCCTCTCCTCTCCTCCCCTTTCTTTTCCTTTCCTTCCTTCCTTCTCTTTTTGACTTTCTTTTCTTTCTTATGCTGTGGTTGAGGGCAGCTGCCAGGACAGCTTGGAAAAAAGCCATGTAGTGGTCTGGAGTTAGGGTAAGTTGGAAGGTAAGGGTGGAGGGAAATGCTCATTAACTGCTTGCTGGTTTGGGAGACAAAGGCTGGCAGATGCTCTGTTGGTTGGTCACCACAGCCCTTCCTCCCTTTTACCTGATGCCCCTCAAGCAGGAGCTGCTGGCTCCAGCACTGGCTCCAGGAACTCAGCCAAGAAGTCTCCACATCCTGCTGTTCTCTGCACTGCTCTTTGTGCCATCCTTGGTGCTTGGTTAGCAGGGTGGGCTGCAGCTCAGCCCTACCACCATCCCATGGGAAATCCATCCCTCACAGTCAGTGCCCAGCATGATGGCTCACCTGAGGAGGAGACACTGCAGATTTGGAGCCCTCCCAGTGCCTACATTGATGCTCGGTGAGGTTTTGGATGGCATTTGCTCGCTGGATCTCAACTGTGCAAGTCCTTGGGTCTGGGAGGCTGCACCCAGGGAAGCCAGCTGATGTCCTCACAGAGCTCTTGCTGCAGTCCTTGAAAAGCTGTGATGACTACAGGAGGACCTTCACGCCTGCAGGACAGCAACATTTGCACAGTCATCCAAAAAGGGCCCAAAGGATGACCTAAGCCAACCAGCTTCATTTCAGTCCCCAAGAAAAATCATGCAATGCGTCCCCATTAGGAGCTATTGTTTGCAAGTGGAGAAGAAAGGGCTGGGGAGCAGTCAGCACAGAGTGTAACTCCATGGGCTTATCGTGCCTGAAAAATGCAGTTGTTTTGTGTGACAGCTGGCTGGGTGTGATAGGGCAGAGCTGTGGATGACATTTCCCTTCACTTCTGCACAGCATTCAGTGCTGCTAAGGCATCCGTTTCCAAGAGCACCGTTCACTGAAATATTGATGCCTCCGCTGCGTTGGCTGAACATTTGATTCTTCTTAAACCAATGGCAGAAATAGGAACTTATCTCAGGTGCTGTCATGAGTGGAATCCTCCTCCGCAATCGTCTTTCTCCGTCGCTCAAACACGTGGCGGTCAGCTCCATTTAAACGCCGCAGTTTTGCCATCTAAAATCGGGTGATGCGAACCTGTTGGTGCACCTTCCCATCAGCCAGCATTTGAAGCTGCTTTGTATCTGTGTGCAGCTGGACGCCCATGTGCTTCCTGGAGGCAGAGGGCTGAGCAGTGCTGTCTGAGCCCCGTGGCAGCAGCAGGGCTGGATGTCACAAGCCTGGTGCGATGCCTCGCGATGCCGGAAATCCACAGGCAAAGAGCAGCTGCATGAAATTGAATGAGCAAGTGCTGGAGGCTGGCTGTGCTGGTGGGGGGCAGCCCTGGCTGTATGCAGAGCGGGGCTGGGAGGTGGGGAGCAGCAGCAGGGAAGGGAGCTGAGGGTCCAGCTGTGGTTCTGTGACAACGGACTGGATTGAATTAAGTTCTTTGCTATGAGAGTGGTGGGTGAGGTGCTGGAACAGCTGCCCAGACGGATGCCCCGTCCATCCCTGGAGGTGTTCAAGGGTGGATGGGGCCCTGGGCAGCCTGGGTTGGTGTTAAATGTGGAAGTTGGTGGCTCTGCATGCGGCAGGGGGTTGGAGCTTCGTGACCCTTGAGGTCCCTTCCAACCCAACCATTCTGTGATTCTGTGAATTGCTGACCGGCTTCCGCACCCGTGAAACGGGAGCACGGGGAGCTCACGTCGGAGCTCCCGGCTTCGCAGAGGCTCCCGTCGCGGCGTGCCCGCCCGGCTCCAGGCGGATGACGGGACGAAGCAGCCCGGAGCCAGATCCTAAATTTCCTTCACGCACCGCCAGGTCATTAAGAGATGTAATTAGCAGCCGGGCGGGTACGGAGCACGGCAACGCTGAGCCTCGGGGTTCCGATCTCAGCAGCCGGCACGCCCGAACGCCAACCTCGCCTCCCGCCGCCCTCGGCCTTCAGAGCCGCCGGCCGCGATCCCCGCCCCGCCCGGCCCCCCCCGCCCCCCGCCCGGCTCCCGGCTCGCACCGCTCCGCCGCCTCCTTCCGCTGCTGCCGCGCGGCGCCGCTCGGGGTTTGTAGTTCGCCCCTGCTATTCACGACGGCCTCTGCGCCGTTTCCGCGCCGTAGCGTCCGGAGGGCGGGATGGGGCGCTACGCCACGGCGGCGGCGTAAGGGCGGGCGTGGGGACTCTGGGGCAAGGCCGGGCCGGCGGACGAGCGGGAGGAAGGCGGCGGCGGAACGGCCGTGCGCCGCGGAGGAGGGCGAGAGGGAGGAGGAGGAGGAGGGGAAGAGGAGGGGGCGAAGTTACTGCGCCCGGCGGGAAGTGCGGGGCCGCGGCACGGCGAGAGCAGCGCGGCCGCTCAGGTAAGCGGGGCCGGGGGGCCTCTGCGAGCGGGGGCCGCTTCCCCGCAGCCCGGCCGGGAACGCGCGGAGCAGCCGCGCTGCCTACAGCCGGGAACGGGCCGCCCCCGCGCCGATCGGCACCACCTGTTGGAGGAGCGCGGCTCTGCCCCGGGGGGCTCCGCGCCGTCCCGAGGCGCCGGGGCTGTTCCGGCGGTCCGCTGCAGCACGGCTCGGGGGGAGGAAGAGCACCGGGATCTCCGTAACCGCCCCGATTTCTCAGCGGCTCGTCGGTTCGTGCCGCGTCCCAGCCCTGCTCGGCTTCGGGAGCAGAGAGTTGGGATGGCTGGGTGATGGGAGCTGAGTGGTGGGAGCTGTGTGTGCTGTGATCCCCATATCGGGTTGGGATGGGAGCTGTGTGTGCTGTGATCCTCATGGCAGGTTGGGATGGGAGCTGTGTGTGCTGTGATCCCGGTATCAGGTTGGGATGGGAGCCGTGTGTGCTGTGA